GTGTAGCTGTCCTTAGGAGTATCCCCACTTGTCCTCTAACTCTTCCCACCAGCAGGTGCTTGCTGCCACACTGTAGGAACTATTCACTGAGCTTCAGCTCCCTCCTCTGGGCTCAGGTGGTATGCTCAGCTGCCTGAGAGCATTTGCTTGGCCAGCTGGCCACACAGCATAGTCTGTAGGGCCAGCAGGCATTTGTTCCCCAAATGTGTCCCTTCTGGCCATTAGCTCCCTAGTTAGTCGAGAAAGTGGAAGGCTGTGTCCTCAAACACTGCAAGAGCCACAAGCGCCCCACCTGCCTGGCAAAGTGTGCTAGCTCAAGAAGGGAACTGTGTTGGTGGCCCATGAGAGGCTCAATATGCTCTTGGGATCAGGTAGCCACCTGTCTGCTCAGATCTTCCCCAAAAGATGCAAAGCCTTTGGAATGTGGTGGCAAAGTTTTAACAGTTTGAGGAAATAAACCATAAAAAGACCAAAAAATATCATTTCTTTTGAAAAAAATGTTAAAGGACCCAGGCTCTGTAGGCCCAGCTCCAACCAGCTCTCCTTGCCATGTAGAACTGATGGAAGTTTCAGTGGGCCAGTGTCTACACAGCCAGCACTGGAGAAGTGGAGAGAACAAGAACTGGCTGCTCCTCTCAAGACAGCAGTGACTTGACTGGGATGGGGAGGCCAGGGTGTCCTTTCTGTGGCACAGTCCTGGCCCAGCCCAGGAGCCTGGTGATCAGAAGTAAAAAGACAAGCAATGGGCACAGTCTAGCTCCGGAGGCACTGCTGCCCTGCAGCTGGCTCACATGTGCTGTCCTCAGCCTGGCTTTTGTGGACAGGCTACAGGGGTGGGGGTAAGGGTGGGGAAGGCATGGGACTTACTTAGGCTTGATTATGAAGGGGGAGTGTGTGGGTCAGAAGGAAGCCAGTCTGGAAGACTCATGTCACCAATCTCGGTCATCCCAACCATGCCACCATAGCAGAGAGGATGTTCCTCCTTCAGGTGTAGCTCCTTCACTGTGAATGTCACCCTACAGTGGACCAAGACTGAATGAAGTGAGGAGGGAGCCTGACAACAGTACGTGTGGCTACACGTGGGTGAAAGTCACTGACTGAAGAGTGACCGAGTATTCCAGCAAATGCATATGTGTGAGAATGTGCATGTGTGTGTGTGTGAGAATGCAAGTTTGCACATGTGTGACTGAGTGCACGTGTGAGAACTGTGTGCACGTGTGTGACGGTGTATGTGTGGGAATGAGCATGAGTGCAGTCTCACACAGTTGTTTTTAACCTTGCAGAGCTTTTCCACATCCACACCTTGCACAAGTGCCCAAGTGATGAGGCTCTGGAGCATGGCTAAATGCCTGAATGAACACCCTTTTCAAACCCTCCTCACCCTCTCCTCAGAACGTGCACCTCTAACCCTGGGATGGAGTTAAATGAAAAGGAGGCAGCGAACCCTGAAATACTCCACAATTATAAACACACACCAGCCTTAGGGAAGGTCTACCACGGGAGGGAGATGTGGTCTTTTTCCCACCATCCAGGGGCTCCTCCCTGCAGAAGGCCCTGGGAGCCCTGGTGTAGACTGCCTGCTGTGGGTGGACTTTGGAGGAGAGCTTCATGCAGGGCCTTCCTCCATGCTTGTCTAACCTGTGACACCCTTGGGAGATTTCACTGTGGCTGGCAGTCACAGCTGTAGACAACTGAGTACTGGACCCACTCAATGAATCAGCTGCTGGGAGCTGTGTACTCCTTGGGGAGGGTGTGCCCAGTGCATCGTGAACACTCAGTCACTCCTCCAGCAGCGCAGCTCCCTGCTACCCCTATGTAGAGCTGGTTGCCCAGATCTGTGTGCCAAATCACCCAACATACTGTATATCAACCCCCTCCAAAGGCAGCAGTGCAGAGGAGTGGGACTCTGTCCAACTTTCATGCATTTAAAGAGATTTCTAAAGAGCCCTTGATAATACTAGTACTTCCTGTTTTTTTGATATGTTTAAGTAAAAGAACATTTTTGTTGTTGTTAGAAGAGCAAATGCATGAGGCAACAGGAACAGACCCAGAGGGAACCCAAGTGCTCTACTGTTATTTTAAAGTAACTAGCTCTGAGAGTTGTTACAGCTTCAGCGTGGGCTAGACTTACATGTCAGTCATCTTTTAACTACAGCAAAAAAGGGAGATTTCCTTATGTGAAGAGCGAACAGTAAAATGTCTTGGGCGTTTTTAAAAGCAGGTATATTTTGCCAAGGGGATAACCTGCACTAGGGGTGTCACTTCCATCTCTGACTCACCCACGATTTGCAGCAAAATGAACAAATGACAAGTGAAGACCGCTGGAGATGACAGAGATGGCTGTCACCTGCCCCATCTGCCCAGACCCCTTCCAGTACCCTCACCAGCTGGCCAAGGCCCTGCTCTGAAGATAGTCACTGGCACACCACTCCATAGGAGCCCTCAGAGCCAGAATCACTGGGTAACTTTGCCCTCGGTACTGTGTGGTCTAGATCCTGCCTTTGAATGTGAGCTGGCTGTCCATACTGCTGCTCCAGCAGCACACTTAGGATCTCATTAACTTGGGAGTCTTTCCCAGCACCCTAGTGACTCCCTAGCACTACATTAGACATTACCATCCTCTCAGGAGTGACAAGGTATGTACCAGGGCTAGTCGGAAGTAATGACATAGCTCTCCTCACCAGGTCCCTCATGTTGTGAGCATAGAGCTTGGTCATTCTGACCCTTGGCCTACACTGGCTGGTGTCCAGCCACAGCAGACCTCATGCTGACATCTGAGATGCCATCCTATGCCATGCCATAGCATGTCACCCTCCTGTCCATGGTGCCTTTGTGGGTGGTTCATGCAGGGTAGAGGGAACAGTGCTATGTGGAAAGGAATCAAGGACAGAGCCCTATGTCACAGGAGACCTCTGTGTAACTCACCATTCTGCAGTGCTTCGTTGGATATGGTCACAAGTATTGTGCACCTACAAGCACCTGCTCCAAGTTTCCCACCCCCTCCCTGTGAGACTGTAAGATCTGTTAAATGCCGTGGACACTACTAATGGCCTGAGTTTGGAGGAAGATCACAGGGAGGCTATGCATTTTGTTCACAGGTGCTCTCCAGGTGACACAGTGCAGGCCAGAGCCTTCACTAGCCCCTTCATCCTAGGGTTCTGAGCCTTCAGCTTTGGTGGCTACCCCATTTGAGCGCGGTTCCCTCTTCCAGCTTCCAGCAGACTAGTGCCGCAGTGCCTGGACTCCTCCATCGTCTGGCCCTAAACTTGACTGAGGCCCTGTGTTATGTTTCTCACTGAGGCCTGGGCTCCACCCTCCCAGGCCATCCCCTTCCTCTCAGCTGGACATGAGGACTCCCCTAGTATCTTGCTGGTCTACCTGCCATATGTGGTCAAGGGTTATAGTACCCAACCACAACTGGCCCTGGAGTTCTCAGTTTGACCTACCAGTTGCCAGATGAGGTGTTCAAGGACAGCCCTCTCTATTTCTGGGTTCTAGGTGGTAGCCTTTGGACAAGTACCCTGTCCCAATTTCCTCCCTGCCACATCCTCCTCTGCCTGTCACCTGGCCCCTCATTGAAAGGGCTGGGGCTGGTGGTCTGGATCAGTTACATCAGAGACCCTCTTTGGTAGGGGTCACATTGAGTGTGTCCAGGCATGGTTGCTGCCTGCCCGAAGATATGAGGCCAGACTTCATTTTTATTAAGAGCTATCCAGACCCTAGATCTGTGGTGCCTAGGAGCAGCCTCTGTGAATTTGCAATTATACATCTGGTTGACTGAGGACCTGGGGACATACATCTCTCTAAGAGCACAGATAGGGTAGGGTGAAGGTCAGCGACCCCAAGCTGGTCCATTTCTTATTAAAACTGAGGAACTGGGGACAGTTTGTAATAATGACAAACACTCCTACCGATGAGGATACTGGCAGTGCCCACCAGAGTGTAAGGCTTGGTGCTGAGGTGGGGATCTTGCAGACTTCTCAGCTCTGCAGGATGGGGAGCAGCAAGGGACATGGATACCCCATCAAACAGCTGGTCCTGGCTCTTCTGAGACCGAGGGAAGGCAGCCAAGTTGATGGCATGAGGCCTGCTCTGCACTGTCTGTAGGCACAGACTCCTCTACCCCTGGGCAAGGCCTGTGTCTAGGTGCTTGGCACCTTGGATGTCATGTGGTCATGTGATGCAGGAACCCGGCCCTAGAGCTCTCATGTCCTGATGGCTTCTTCTTGGCCCACACTAACACAGCAGGGAGAAGGAAAAGAGCTGTGCTGCATTGTGGGGGTCAGGAGATGGGTTTGAACACCATGTCCAGAAGACCTCTGGACAGACTGAAAGTTAGGGAACTCTGAATAAAAATGGGCATGTCAGCTGTGTCACATACTCTGGAAGTTTCTGGGGTTGCACAAGACAATTTCACCCTTGGTCTGCCCTCAGCTGTGCTGGCATTTCACTGGATGCAGCCAGGTACCCTGGACATCTGGGATAGTAGGGAGGGGTTTCTATTTGGCATGCTGGAAAGGAAGCTACTTGGAGCTCACTCCTCAAGTCTGTGGGAGCTCTTGTGACCAGCCTCTTAGATGCTGGCTGAACAGGGAGATGTCTCCCTGTGCAGTGTCAAGGGACCCTGTGTGTTGTGTGGATGGCAGATAGCACTGCTGGGCAGAGGCCTCAGCCTGATCACAAGCCACATGAGCTGCAAGCATGTTTCACTACCCTACCCCACGGAGGATCCTAGAGGAACTGTCACAGAGGAGGTTTGTAGAGTGAAGAAAGGTAAACCTTCCATTCACGACATCCTCCACGTAGCTGGGAAGATAGGCCACAGCAAGCACCTTGGGAAGAGGGACTTGGGTCAGCTTCAGAGCATCCTTCCTAGCCATCCTTCGCTGCCTCTTTCCAGCCACCATCAGAGTTTAGCACATTTACCTAGTCTTGCTCAGTGGACGCTGAGCTGTAAGCAAAGGGCATGGCGCATTCTTTAGGGTCTTGGGTCTCCGTACCTCGTTTCCCAGCAGAGCAGAAACGCATGCTTCGGAGGCATCACAGATGGCTGTCAGGTCGTGACCTCCCTCAAGAGCCAGCACAATCCGGCCGCCAGCCAGGCCCATCAGTTGCTTTGTCAGGTACCCAAAACCTGCAATGGGAAAGGGACATGAAGGGGAGGGCAGGCTGGGCAGATCAGAGTACCTAGAGACATGGTACACCACACCGCAGGAAGACCAGGGGAGGAGATGCCACCACACACCATTAAGGTCAAGTTTGATTTCATAAAGTCACTAAATACTTGTGGTTTTGGGATTTCCTGTTCATCTGTTTGTGAGCATGCAGTTTCTGTGCTTTGATTTTATAATGCAGCCAACTGTCTTGATTGAAAGGGCAGCTGACTACACCCAGAGGCCCCACGCCACTGCCTTCACTGCCCCAAAGGGGGTCCTGGCTGTTCTGAGTAGCTGACATACCGTGTATATGCATGCACATATATGCACACACAGGTCAACACTGCCTATGTCAATGCAGGTACCCCACAACCACATCTGCTCTGAGCCATAATCACTTGTTTATTTGTTTTGTTTTGGTGGTGCTGGGGTTTGAACTCAGGGCCTCATGCTTACTAGGCAGTCGCTCTACCACTTGAGCCATTCTACCAGCCTTTATTGTGTTATATATTTTCGAGATAGGGTCTTGTGAACTATTTGTCTGTACTGGCTTCAAACAACAATCCTCCTGATCTCTGTCTCCTGATTACCTAGGACTACAGGCATGAGCCACCAGTGCCCAGCTCATAGCCGCTGCATTCAAGCATCTGTCCCTGGCAGGAACCTCTTGGCAGGCATGATTGTAACTATTCCAGGCCAGAAGAGGCTGGAGCTTGCCAAATAGCAAAAGAATCCTACTTAACCAGACCCTGACTGGTCAGCCCACATGGTCCTACATCAGGCTGCATGCCCTGGCAGCAGTGAGGCACTAGTGGGCTGAAACCTCTAAAACCTCAGTTCATCTCTGATGAACAGTGATGCTGGCTTTGAGGCTGCTGGGATGTCTAAACAAAGACGTTTAGAATATGGCAACAGGGTACCTTAGAAAGGTGCTGCCTGGTCACTTCTTCAGCCACTAGGCCCCACAGGTCTGCACTAGAGCATGGCCACCATAAAGCCACCTTCTGTTTCCATCTTTACTTCCCTGGTGGGGCCACACCTTCCTTGTTTGACAGCCAGAGAGAAAGGTTCTCCTCCTTGGCTATCTGCGCTGATGGGAACAGGGAGGAGAGGGTGGCTTGTGGTATGCTGGGGCTAAGTGGACAGCAGCTAGGTCCTGTGTGACTTGAGGCATGTGCTGAGGATAGAAGGTCTTTAGTTTCCTTTTCATGTGCTGTGGCATCTCAAAACAGAGACCATGGTCACTAGGCTGGGCCGTTTTTAGGCCTTCCTTCTATACCAGAAGCATAGCCTCTATGTGATGTGAGTCCTCAGTGGGCACAGTGGGGCTCCTTTCTTAGCTCCAGCAGCCTCACTCACCTACTTCCCTCCCTAAGGGTGAGACCCACCTGCTCTTCCAGGAGACAGCAGAAAACAATGCAGTACAGAACACATGTCAGCTCTAGGTAGGACTGGGAACAAGGGGAGGGGGCCTACAAGCTGCTCAGGTACCTAGTTCTGTGCTCTGGGTTGCTGCTCTCAGGGCAGAGGGTCTAGGTTTCCTGGCTGTAGCCTTGTGCTGCCACTCTGGGCTAGGTGGGCTCTGTCTCATTCTTAAAGTGAAGCGAAGGCACCTTCCTTCTATGGCCTGCCACATGGAACACAACTGGTCGTTAAATAAATAGTCATGGATGGGGTAAGTGATTTCTACAGACCCACTTACATTTGGCAGACAGGTTGTACCCTCCAAGGGGTGTGGGGTGGCCCTCCACAGCATCAAAGCCTGACGACACCAGCACCATGTCTGGGGCAAACTCATTGGCGATTGGCATGACTACCATTCTGCAAAGAACAAGAGAAGGAAATATTGGGTAAGCTGAGGACGTGCCATGAAAAGGACTTAGTGTCACCAAATACAAGAGGTTCTCTAAGCTAACGACATCTGCCCATGAAGCCCCTATGTTTCTGATGACTCTTACTTAATTAGAAGGAAATCAAATGCGAAGGAGGCATATTTTACAGACACCTTCAAAGTCCACATCAACAAGCCCATGAAAGCCGCTACACAGGTACTTCTCAGTTGGCATGGACTAACAGTCCCCACCCCTCCCCCAGTCCTTTACTGCAGGGCCTTCAGGGCACCACCCTGCACATCCCATCCCTCTCCCAAACATGGTGCCACTCACAGGCTCAGGCTGTCTGTCCTATCTGTGACAAAGACGATGCCCTTTACAGAGCTATCATCCAAGACAGGCATGGCTACCACCCCAGCACATGACACTGGACGCTTGGATGGCTGAGAAGACCAAGCACCCTGGCCAGCTCTCTGAGCCCTGCCAGGGCAGAGCCCAAAAGGGCTTCCCTCTAATTGCAGAGGGACCCATGGCCACAACCAATGATCATTTGCATCCATGTGGGGAGAGTTAAACCACCTCTCAGCACAGAACAACCCATCAGTTCAGTCAAGCCATGGTGGCCCACGGTATCATGAACACACATGCTAGGTCACAACCGCCTCATGAGGCTCAGTAGCTTCCTGTATTCTTGAGGCCTGCTTCATTTGATATGGAATGACTAGCACTGACTTCCAGTATTCCCCTGGGGGCCAGGTGGGCAGAATCACAGTCCCCTTTCCTGGAAATATAGTAGTGACTCTGAGATGGAGGTGGTCTAAGGTCTCCTCATTTCAGCACCAATGCCTGGGGACTGTGCTCCTGGTGCAGGTGGAGAAAGGCAGATGGGAAGCCTGGTCACGTGACTGTACCAGTGGGTGCTGTGAGCTCTGCTGGTCAGTGCACGTCTCATGGTTTCACTGCTGCCTGTTCTTGGAACAGCCCTACCTAGCCTGTCCGTCCCCAAATTACAGCTGTGTCCTGCAGCCTCTCCAGCACACAGGTGGGCCTTTACTCCCCCTGCGTGTGTGTGTGGGAGGTGCAGTGAGCCATCCAGCAAGGCTGAAGGTCCCTCCCACCATCACTGACACCCAGAAACATAGTGACCACAATACTCAGTCTCTGTTGACATGTGAAATTCCCCATTGCAGCCGGCAGAAGCATCAATTTGAGCTGGAAGAAATACAATGCTCAAAAATCACTGGGACCCACTGAGAAGTGATTCTAGATCACAGTCCCACCAAAAATCTCCTCTGACTTTAGAAGGTGAAAGTGATAAAACCCAGGGGACACACAACTGCCTGGTACCCCAAACCCTCATAATGAGAGAAGGGCACACCCTGTGTGGGTGACTTCAGTTTGCCCAGGCACTTCTTTGAGACACTCCAAATTCAAGCTGGGCTGTCAGAGAGAGCTAGGCTTCACAACAACAGCTGCTTTTGTTTATCCTTCTTCAGTCCACAGCCTCACCTGGAGTTGCCTCTGCAGTTCTGAAAAAGATCATGGTCCTTTAAGGACATGGGAGCTTCTGAGGGCCATCAGACTTTTCTGCCAAAGTGCCAACAGTAGATATTTTAGTCTTGGTCAGGACCACTCAAGGGTGCCTTGCAGTGTGAAAGCAGTCACAGACAGCACAAAAGCCTTTGTTGTTTCACGTAACACAAAACACTGAAACAGAGCTGGGACTGGTGCGTTCATGGCCTAATTGGCAGCAGGGCAGAGAGAATGCCCTGGATCCAGCAGTCCTGTGACTTCTAGGTGACACAGAGCCTTGCACTGGCATGGGTCCATCTCACCAGGGGCACACTCCACAGGCCTCTTCTCTGAGGGCCTGGGTCTTCCTCAGTGGCTTCGGATTGACAGACAGCAAGACCGAGAGTAGCCGCTCTCTCTGTTCTCACCATCCATGTCACTCTAGGGAAACCAGTTTCTAAGGAGGGCAGTGATGTTCTTGTCACAGAACCTGTTTCTTTGGGCAGGAAAACACAGTTCTAGCCATGCTTTTGGTATAGATTTTAGAGCCAAGACATTTTTTTTTTCAAGGAAAACCAGACATCTTGTACAGACACTGTTGCCATTCACAAAGCACCATGACAACCAGTTTGAAGCAAGTACAATGTGGTGGATTTATTTCTGTGCTTTGAAGTATTGCTGAGCTATTTAATTCCTAACCCACTCCAAAACAAGTCCTGCTAAAATCATCAAAGGAAGTTCATACCAAGAGAGTGCCTGGTGTCTATGTCTGGTGTGTGGTGCCATCCTGAGGTCAATCAAAGTGAAATGTGAAACAAGCCCCAGGCTGGTGGCCTTGCACACACCCAGCAGTGCAGGTATAAGCATAGGTGTGCACACACTCATTTTAATGTCCCAGGCTTGGCATTCCCTAGGCTGTCCTTCCAAGGACAGCTGAAGCAAAGCTGATCAGCAAAGGCACTGAATGAGAGGCATGTGCCTGAGGCTGTCTACAACACCCACCTGTGGTACTAAGGGAATGTCACTGTTGCTCCTTGGGACAATGACTTGTTTTATGAAGGAGCTGCCTTGTCAGGGTGTGCCATCCCATCCGTGACCTTCATGCAGTTAGGAACCTGAACAAATGCCCCTATTTAACTGGTGCTCAGTGAAAGTGAGAGACTGGACTTCTATTTTACTCCTAGAAATCAACTTTTAATAATTAACTTAGTCTCTGAAAATAAAGTTTAAATATTTGCTACAGGCCCCCTCAAGCCCTCAATTGAGGGGAGATTTCTTGGGGACCACTTTGGCCTTTCAAAGGCAACTGAGGGCAGGGAGTGCCTTGCAGCTGCACAAGGCAGCAGATCAAATTACCATCTGCTTAGCGGCAAGAGAAAGGGTAAAAACGGGCAGAGAGGAGACAACCGAGTGTGCACAAAGCATACCCAGCATGGTGGAAGGTAGTGAGGATCCCTGCATGGTGCCCAGAGAACGCCTAATGCCATAATGTGCCTGCCACTCCGGAGATGACAGACACTGTGGAGCCCAGGATGAGGGGCCACTGGCTGCCCTGAAAGTGACCTCGCATTTGTAGTCCTACATGAAGCTGTGAGTTGCTGCATGTCTTTTTTCTGCAGCCTCATCAGGGCTGCTCCGGCAGCCTTCAGCCCTGAGCTTTCCCTTTACTAGCAGCTGCCTCCCATCTGCAGCTCTGGGGGCGCGGTCCACACTCACACTGCACTTACCACTCTGGGCTGGCATGCTGTGTCGGGATGCAAGTCCAGTGCTCACTTGACAGACCAGCTCACCCACCAGCCACTCGGCTGCTCCATGGGAGGGTCAGTGCCAGGCGCTGTCAGGGGTGTTCACACCATGTTGCCACATCACATCACATCACATTACAAGGTGTACACAAGGCAGCACCTCTGAAAACCACACTTGATTCTAAATGCAGTAAGTGACTCAACAGCTGAGTTCCCACACCTAGGCAGAAATGGCCTTTCAATTCACATTGCACAGGGTCCTAAGCAAACCCCACAGAACCCAGGATCAATGTGAGGTTCAGGCGCAGAATGGACAGGGTGGCCAGCCAGTTAGCATCAGGGACCTCAGTGGGTACAGGGCTCTGGCTGCTGTCCCGTGTCACAGGCTGCCCTCTGCTCTCAAGTCATCGTCACATAAACTGGTTATCATGTGTTTCATGAAGGTCCCGAGTTGACATGCATGTGCCACCTGCTGCTGCTCACAGAGCACCCTAGTCCTGTCTTCTTGTTCTTCTCAAAGGCCTCAGACATGCATGTCACGGGGCAGGACTGGGTCTGTCTGTGTGAAGCCACTGCTCTATCAACAATCTAGTTTCACAGAGAGCAGTGGCCATGGGTTCCCGACAGTACAATTTTAATAGTCACGGTGTTTTGCTGACTGAAAAGGTCCTTTTGTCACAAGTTGTGTAAGGTTTCCCTTAGACAGTGAGGGTGAAGGTTGGTACCTCTCCCCCTCTGACTTGCAGCTATCCCACTTGGTGGACAACTTGGCCCTGGGCCACATGTGCTTCAGGAGCTGCCACCACATCCTTTGGAGAGAGCCACCAAACCCATTTCTCCCACCTGAGTTGAGGCTGGTGGCTGCTGTGCTGCTAGTGTTGAGTGGGGGACTTCTTTGGAGGGTCAGTCAGTACACAGATAGGAACGATGCCCAGCTCCATCAGCTCCATTCCCACTGCACTCTTCCCCAGCAGCCCCTCCTTCAATCTGTAGGCACCCTGGCAAGTGGGAAATCTTTTCACCCTGAAGAACAAACTGGCCTGCTCTGCTTGTGTTCTCTCTGTGCCCCCATGCCCTCCCCAACATGTGCTGGGAACCAGTGGCTGCCACCCTCTTCAGGCTGTCCATGGCTCACACCTATAATCCCAGCTACTCAGGAGGCAGAGACAAGAGGACTGTTACTCAGTTTGAGGCCAGTGTCCATTCACCGAGAGATTAGTTCCACTTGAGTATGCCCAGCATCACTCATACATCTGAGCAGTGTCCTGACACCACACACGGGCCTGCATCACAGCAGAGGCCCTGGGCTCTGTTGGTGTCACTGCTGGGGAAGGCCAGGGCACTAATGACAGAAATGTGAGGGTTAAGGACCAGTGCATGATTATCTGCATTCAAGCCCATTCAAGCCGTGGCACAGTGCCACAGCTCAGCAAACTTCAAAGCCGTGTCTGCCTCTGGGACTGGCTTAAATTAAGGTTCCTTTTCTCCTACAACTCCAAGCCTGAGGAGAAAGTGGTGGTCACTTCTGGATCTCATTAGGGACAATTTTCTTATCTTTTCTTCATCTGAGGCTTGATCCCTGGCAGGCAAGGGCTCTGGATAACAAGGCACTGCCTTTGAGGCATGTACTGTCCCAAAGGGCCCCCCTGTAAGGGGGTGAGTGAAGAAGAAAGGGGGCAACCAGCCTGTGACCCTTCTTCCCCAACCCAAGGCCCAGGGAACCATAAATTGTAAACTTCAAAGTGCTATTTTACATTAAAATCAATCAAAAAAAAAAAATCCTAAAACAATTTCCCTTTTCAAAAAAGCTATTGAAGCTTTAAGACGTGTACTTGGTAAGGTATTATCATGCACACACTTGGCAGGGCATTAGAACAGATGTGAAGAGTGATTGGGAAGGAAGATTCACCAAAAAGGGTAGCCAGGCAGGCAAGGAGAGACCTTGATGGAGGGTGGACACCACCAATGGACCCAGGCTGGAGCCCAAGGTGTCAGAGAGGCCCAGACACATTCCAGAGATGCCTGGGAGGGAAGGACAACATCTGAAAGGCCAGGGCTGGCCTAGTCACCTGACTTGAAGGACTGATGCGAAGGAAGAGGAGATCTGAGGTGGCATCAGCAAGAGGGCTCTGTCTTGGCTCTGACCTGGCTCTGACCAGGGTCACTACAGGGCCCTGAGTCTATAGCCAGCGTCCACTCAGCATCCATCCACTGGGCAGTGTTAACACCTTTCACACCACAGACAATTTATTTTTACAGTAGCCTTGTAGAACAATCAGTAGAGAGGTGACACCATGGCGCCAGGTGGAGTGCATGACACCTCCCAACTCATGGTTCAGCTTTCACAGATTTTCAGATATATTTGGGAGAAACACCACTATATAAGGAGGGCCAGTCATCAGAGTTACATTACCACAGGGATGATAGGAAAGTGGGGTGGGTAAGAATCAGAGGAGGTTTCTAAGGGCTGAGGAATTTAACGGCATCTGCAGACCAACCTGCTGGCTAAGAAGATCACCTTCTTCATGATTTAATCAAACAAATCTGTTACTTTTATAAGCCACTGAGTGGCTGGAGGACCCACACCTACTGGGTTGGACTTTACCTCACCAGACCCCAAACCACCTTTCCAGTGGACACTGGGACCACGACTCCGTTTCAAGATAAGCAAGTACATGCTGAGAGGTATCACGGGACTTATGCAGGGTTCACACAGAGCAATGGCAGAGTCTGCTTCAAAACTGAGACATGTTCTCGTGCGACCTCACCTGCCAGAGACATGTGCACATGTGCTGGCATACAAGACATGCACACTCGTGCACTTACATCCACAGAAGTGCAGATAAGCACGTGGACACCACGCAGAGACGTGCACAGAGCACATGTCCACATGCATCTGACACATGCCTGCATGCACACGCTCTGAATTACATAGGTCAGGACAAGATCCTGGAGCTTGAGGAAGAGCCACAGAAAATCCCCGGAGGCTTGGCAGCTCTTTGGCCCCAATGTACTGGCAGGGTTTACTGCAGGACTGAAGGTTCCTTGGGCCAGTTATGCAGCCAGACCTTCTCCTCATAGCCCTGGAACCCACCTGAACTGCCCTACTCTTCACTCGGAGCTGTCCTACTGCACTACAGCAAGGGAAAGCTGCCATTTCACAACACCAAGAAGAAGAACCCTGCACTGCAGGCCACCCACTGTTGGTTGGACGAATTACTTCAATTTGGCCTGGACTGAAGTAAAAGAACCATGTGATAACAAAAGCAAACACAGTGTTTTAAAAAGAACCACTCTGCAACTGTGTTCTAAAGGCCCAGCGCAATGTAAAGGGGTGTGAAGGGGTGACTGTTGCCTAAACTTCTATGTAAGAGGAAATAATGTATTTCCATTTAATATCAGCTCTCAAAAGGTTTACGAAGATTAGGAGATTATGAAACTTTTAGGATCCACACATTCGTTTCTCATTAATTATTTGCACATTCATTTTTCATTAATTAACCTAGTACTTTCCAACATTCCACACAAAATCATTGCCTCCAATGCACTATTTGAGATAGTGACTATCAGGCAGAAACAGATTCCTGGTCTTTATTTAATGCACAGAAGAGAAACTGGGACCAAGGGGTGGCAGAGAGTCCCAGAGATTGCACTTCTGGTGTTGAAAGCTAAACTGAGTCTATAAAGTCCCCACCATGCTCATTTACAGATTAGGTTCACAGGTGCTCATCTCAGCTCCCTATGGAGGCTAAGGGTGGCCAGGAAGATCAGGGGACTCACCTGAAGGCTGCCAAGTACTCAGTGTCTCCCATGGGGGGGTCGAGGCCACCTGTGAAAGCCATGTTGACATTGAAGCCCACGCCTGGACCTGTGCCCACCTACGGCCAGAAGGAGAGAAATTCGTATCACAGACCCTCTGACATGAACCCTTAACACAGGTGGTGGGTGGGCTGGGTACGTATCAGTAGGCAGTCCCTGTAGGGAGTGCCCATGTGTGTCTGGGTTTGTGTGTTCATCAATGTGAGATGCCAGTCACCCATAGGCTCAAAGTGCTGACGTCAATGATGGATGAGCTTTCACAGAACATTGTCAACTCTCACATACGCTGAAATTGCAGGAACTGTGGGTAACTGTCCTTTGTCCTTGGGCCACAGGAGAGGCCTGCTCAATCTCTCTTTGGGAGACTGCCAATCTCTGCCATGTGCCATGTGCAAATAGGACAACCAGATGGGCTTCTGAGCAGAGGATACTGTGAATGATTCTTTCAGTTCCCACTTCTTCTCAAGCAGCAAGACCCAGGGATTCTACTCTGTACTGCAGCGCCTCCGTTCATATGTGGGCTTTGCTGTACCAGGGCCTGCCATGCAGCATGGGACAGTCAGGAGGATAGGAGACAAAAGCTTACTGCCCAAGGATGTGCCAAGAAGTTGCTGGCTGGGAGTGCTTCTCAAGAGCACAGAGCAAAGGGAGGGCTTCAGTTTACCCAAACGGGAACTAGAAATGGCTATACTCTTTCATTTGTACATTAGACAAAATACAGGCCCTGGTCACTCATGATGGGATCAGGATGGCATCTGCCTGGAATGACTGTCAGGGCTTAAGCAAGCATGAAGCCGTGCTTCACGTGCCCATGCGGCCAATGTACACCCTGCCCGCCAAGCAGCCATAGCCTAACCCCTGCCCTAAAAGTCCCGCATACCCCACCTACCTCATCAGGTGCCCCACTGCCTGGGAAGAAGTTCCCGTCGTCGTAGCGATGCAGGGACATGTAAAGGACATTGGGGTCACTGTAGAAAGCCTGCTGGGTCCCATTCCCATGATGTACATCCTGAGAGAATGAGAGAGTCACCTCAAGGCAGGATCAGGCCTTGCAGCATAGCCCTCAGTCCCTAGCTGACCCTCTCTGTGCCCTGGGGTGACAGCTCCTGCTTGGGGAATACCCTGGCACCTATAGCTGGGCCTGCAACCTCACAGGATGAGTGAAGGGTACATTGTATAGGGTTGCAAACTAATTGCCAATGGCTAAGTTTGCAGTGTCTTTCTAACTCTCAGCACCATGGTCATTTCTGGTCCTAGCAAAGATGATGGGGCTGGTGTTTCAGTCAGGCCCAGATGCCATAGTTTTCCAAACAAAAGCCAAATGATCAATTTCATATGCCCCCAGTGTTTCTACAAGTGAGTCATTTCCTCACCCTCCATCATGAGGGAGGTTACTGGCTGTGGCCTGGCTACTTACAGGTACCTGTGAGGAGTCTGCTTCCTGCTAAATGGGGTGCAGTGTGAGTGAGTATCATGGCCATGTCCACACCATGCATAGTTTAATATGTGGCATGGCCATGGTGAGCCTGTCAAGGCAATGTCTCTGAGGTTGTCTGCTGACTCAGTATTTTTGGTGGCACTATCTGTACATTGGCCACAGAGCTGTCTCTAGTACATAGCTATCACTGTTAGCTATTATCATTGTAGCTGCCATCAACTGCAAAATAGTTCTCTTTTCATAGCATCTCTACTTACTCCTCAAAGAAGGACTGGGGAGGGTATGTTGGCTCCAAGGTTCTGGGTGGAAGAAAATCTTCCCTGCCTTGCTCAGGCCAACTGGGAGTCTGTGAGCTACAGATCCAGCGTAGAACTCCTCATTACTGGCTCCTCTCCTGATTTCATTTTTTTCTTTTCCCAAACTTGGAAGGATTTTTGCAATATAAACCTGACATACCTGCTCTTTTTCCTTAGAATGTACGTAATAAGTCATAAATATCAAAGAGAATGCTATGGCTTAAAAAGGAATAATGAAGTAAACACCCTAAACATTCATTTCCAGTTTAGGAATTGCTATTGTTTTTGGAATTCAGGTTTGGCTGTTCAAGAAGAGTTGGCACTTTCATAGCAGTGGGGTGGTAAGATGTGATACCTTCCACAGGAAGATGAAGGCTCAGGTACCTTGTCACAGCACAAGCCAGGCACCCAAGTGGCAGGAGGGAAGGGAGTACCTGAGAACTAAGTGCAGCCTGCAGCTGGGGAGGGCAGGCCCATGTCCTCAGTTCAGAGGCATAAGGTCAAGGCTGGACACAACCTCTTGAACTCCTGCCTTCTGTTAGCTGGTGCTAAGGATCAGCCCTGGCTGCAGCCCTCAGCCTTGGGACCTTTCGAGGCAGGTCAGAGCCTATGACTGCAGGCTGGCTCTTAGAAGCCATAAATCTGACTCCTAATGGGTGTGGGCTTTATGTTTTTGATCTTTGAGATGGTTTCCACAAAGTTCAGCTCCCCAAGTTCCAATGTCAGTGCAGGTACAGGTCCACTCCCACCCAGGCTCCCTACCAGGGAAAAGGTAGGTGGCCATGGCCCTGCCCAGCTTCACCCTAATAGGTAGGCCACTCACCCAGTCCACAATGAGAATCTTGCTCACGTTCAGCCTCTGCTGGAGAAGCTTGGCTGCAACCGCCACAGAATTGAAGTAGCAAAACCCCCTGAGGAAGGGGAAGAGAGTCAGACAAAGACAAAATGCAGCTATTTTTCTGTTTTCACACAACTTGCAACCCAATCATCTGGAGTCCTGTGAGATTCTGGAGGGCTCAGGTGGAGACTTGCTGGTGGGTTCCTGATGACCATGACTGATGCTAGTAGCTGACCAGTAGAGAAAAGCACACAAGACACACACACACACACACACACACACACACAGATACATACACATGTATTCATATGACACACACATACCGCCTAGATAGACATGCAGACATACACACGGAGACACATACATATCAAGTTACACACGACCACTCAGATGCACATGTAGACACACAAATACACATACATGCAGAAATACACACACTCAACACAAATGTACCAATGCCACAGATATTTACATACCAAATACCTACAAACACATGTACACTGACACACACACACACACATTACATAGATGAGTAAGCACACACACAAACTTCATAGGCACACATGCACATAAATATACATGCCACACAGATACATATGTGTGTACAGCATAAAAATACACACACCACACACAAACAGGCCCATAGAAATACATGAACACATACTACACAGATGTGTGATGCTCCCACCAGATGCACACACATCACACATACACACAAACAAAACACAAACACACACATACACGGGCCCACAGATATACACAAACACATACAAACATACCACACAGATTCACGCACATATACATACCCCACAGATGTACACAACACACATATAAACAGATACGCAAACATACAGAGATACATATATACACCTATCACACAGATGCATAACCACACACACACTACACAGAGGTGCTTATATGCACATACCACACACATGCTAGTACACAAAAGCACACACACACTACAGGCATACGCCATAAGTACATTCCCATACACTACACATACAATATACAGAAACACACAACAGAGACATACATTATACAGACACACCCCTTCACTGCACACCAATACATATAAACATACACACAGTACACATATATATACATCAGATACACAGACATACCACACAGATAACGTATGTGCACATGCACATACCACACAGATACACACCACACGTGCACACACTATGCAGACAGACACATGCACACACTATGCAGACAGACACAGACACACTGACACACCAGTGTCCTTCATGGATTTACCTTGGGAGATTTCCAATGCTCCCAAGGTAAGAAAATCTTCTTCATCTTGTCCGTGGCTACAGCCCCTCTTGTCTGACACAGAACACCTACTGATGACTCAGAGATGCCATGTCCACAAAAGAGCTGTCATCTACTTTAGCTGCCTATGCTTGTCTTTCCATGTTCCAAGACACACAGTAATGTTATCTATACCTACTCAAGTGACAGCTGCCATTTTACAGACTCTTACTCAAAAGACCAAGAAAACAAGGTAAGAAAGTGAGTCACATGAGAATGACAATGGTCTCAGCTTGAGTTTTCTGAGAAGCCCTGGCTGCCCTGCTGGGCTCCAGGCTGGAACTCTGAAAGCCACAGCCCTCAGATGGCATGGCACATGTCTCCTTCTGGATGGAGAAAGGTATTGTGATGTCTCGTCAGACACCATGCAGCACCTTGACCAAAACAATAACTGTTACCTACTCAAGTTGACTGTTATGGATATCCAACAATTTGGATTCAGGAGTAGAAAGGGAACTCCAAAAAAAGGACCATTCCTTGGGAACATGGAGCAACTACATGGTCTGTAGGCAGGGCCATAAAGATTCCCAGTTGGAGTTCGCTCCTGTGGTTATGGTTCCTTCTTTCTGCACATGAAGGAAAATTTCCTTCTAAACATAGCTCTGTGTCCACTTATGTGCAACTCGAGGCTCTCTCCTGCTTACCCACCAAACCCAGGCTCTCTCTAGGAATCTCTGCTAGCCTAAGGTCCTCTTCTCCTGTGGGCCACATTGTACTTCCTGGCTATTCCAAGATGGGGCACCTCCTTGCTTTCCCACCTGGTAAGTTGCTCCTCATTCTTATAAGCACAGCCCAAATGCCAACTCCACCTTCAGTACCAGGTGCCCTGCTCTGCCTCAGCATGACCATGTACCGTTCTCAGGGCTGACCGTGGATCCTAGAGTGGTCTCAGGTCCCCTGAGACTGCACGCTCTTTGATAGCATATCTACTCACACCTCATGTTGCAAAGGCAGCTGTGATGCAGCTGTGGGTCTGAGATCCCTGCTGGCCTCATTCAGATGGGTCTGCACCTACCACTGGTTCTCATCAACAGTGCTGGGTCAGGATGGGCTATATTCTACCTCATCCACACCCTTGGATGTATAGGTGGTTAGGGTGCCTTAGGCACTGGCCTGAGGATGTAACTCAGCTGTGGCCTTGTTAGTACCCAACAGTCAGCAGCTCAGCTACCAGGCCACACACAATGTGGCTTGCTGGTCTGACAGTGTCTACTCAAAGACAATGAGGCACTGCTTTAACATGCTCAGTGTGTGCTCAGCTTCCTCTCCCAAGTGTGACAGCACACGCAACTACCAGAGACTTCTCTGCACCAACTTCCATGGGTCCATTTCCTCTCGTTTCCATTGCCCAGTCTGTCTCTCAAGCTGCATGGTCTACCTCAATTGCTGGAAAGGCAATCAAAGTTCCCTACCCAGGCAGTGCCGAGTGGTCACACAATTCCTCCCTGTGAGCGCTCAGGAGCTGACTCAGCCCTGTCTCCCACTTCCCTGCCCGCCTGCTATGTCCACTCACATGGGGGTGCTCTCCTCAGCGTGGTGTCCTGGGGGGCGGACCACTGCAAAGCCATTCTGTGGATGACACCAAACAGTGCAGACAGTGAGGAAAGATGTTTTACAACCATGAGAAAACCACTACAGATTTGGAATCTATGGGAGGATGTGGTTTCTAGATGCTGTCTGGATACCTCAATATGGATGGAATACAGAGCTGGCTGCGCCTTCCAAAAAGTCTGGGTCCTTCCCCTAAAGAGGCATGCTGGTTACCGAGTGTCCAAGGGAAGCCAGGTACTAGGATAAAAGGCTGGCTTTCTGTCTTCCAGAGTAGGAGTGGTAGGCCTGCACTCCTGGGGGGCATGTGCAAGGGTCAGGGTGCTCTTGGTGTACATCACTTATGGCTAGTAGCCACTGGGCAGAGATGCAGATGCAGATGAGAGGGAAGCAGTTCTGCTCACACAGGCTGCTCTGGGTAAAGACAATTTGTTCTAGGTTGGCCTTAATATGAAGTTCTCTATCCTCATGGCAGTTCAGTTCTCAGGGAGTGGGAAATATGCCCTGCCTCCAACGCCATTCCCACAAAGAAGAAATATTTCAGAGACTGGTATCAGTATGGCTGCATGGCCCCCCGCTCCATGATTCATGCTTTAAAAACTGTCTACAAACTGCTCTGTAGTGTTTCAATGAAAAATGGCTAAAATGGGCCTCCATAGGCTCACCAGCACCAGGAAGCTAGTCAGGCTCTATATCAGAGCTCAAAAAGGGTTGTCCAACCCCTAATGATCCCATGGTAGGGCCTGTCCCAGGGACCATGCTCAGGATAAGACCAGTGCAGTGGTGAGGTCAAGGTGAGCTCAGTGGTAGACCCCGCCCTTTAACAGACTCAATACTGCAAAACCCATGTCCTGGTTCCTGTCTTTGTACACCACATGTAATGGTTTTCCAGGTGCTGTCTGCAGGCCCAGGGGCTGTTTCCCGCAAAATCCCCAGCCTCTGGTTGCCTGTGTGGACAACTGCATCGATGGTGCCCAAGTACTGGCAGGTAAACTGCTGGTGTGAACAGCATAGAGAAGCAGCACACTCCATTCTGCCAGGGCCAGAATAGGTAAAGGAAGTACATCCACCTAGGACAGGATGCTCTCCTAGAGCAGCACTCATCTGCAGGGAGAGTACATGGAGGCAGTTCTATCAAGAATGAACGAGAGAAGCATCAAAGTTCTACAATGTGCTCAACCTCCACCCTAGAAGGCCTGTGTCTGTTTTTTGTGTCCCGTGTAGAGATGGGAAGTAGAGCTCTCCTGTGGGAGAGGATGAGGCCATCACATTTTTACTGAGCTGGATCCTATTTTTTTAGGAATGCCCATTCATTTTCCTTGCAAGGACAGAGACAAGTCTAAGGGCATTCCAACTTGGGAAAATCCAAGACGCCTCTCCAAAACAGAAAAGCTGGCTTGCCACTTACAGGAAAATGAGAGAGCAGTCGTCAGCTACAATATCAGAGCTTTTAAGTGACAAGTGCAAGTTTGAAAAACTTGTGCCTGCTGTACTGTGCTTTACAGCTCTCCTAGTACTTGAAGGACTTTTCTGATGAGATGAGTGGTGGATTAATTGCTCAAAAAAGTAGTGATTTTTTTTTATAGAGTGCAATGTGTAAGGATTTGGGATCCTAACTTTCAAAATGACCAATGTCCAGTGTCAGGAAACTACCCAGATCAGAGATCTGTGCGCCCAAATAGGAAGGTGAGTGGGTTTAACATGATGCAGGGGAAAGGCCTAAATGTGCCTGCAGGATCAAAACTGCAATCTTCGAGACACTACCACTTGCTGAGTGCTGGTGTAGGTCAGAGAAGAATGTCTAGTCATCTGAAAAAACCATTAAAATGCTTCTCCCTTTTCAGTCACATATCTATGAGACCAGTCTTTATGAATTTCAACGTGTCACACCAGATGGATGCAAAGCAGGCATGTGAATCCAGCTGCTAGCCACTAAGCCAGAGATTACTGGTATTTTAAAATTAATAATAAACAGTCTCAGCTTTAATTTCTAGTAAGTCAATAAGCAAATGCTCTTTGCCTCCTCGATAATTGTGAAGGTAAAGGGCTCCCAGCACTAAATTTGACTCTCTGAACATACATTTTCACCAACATGGGAGTGTCAGCCCTTTATCCTGGATGGGAGTCACCTCCTATCAGTTCCCTCAAACACAAACAGAGGGCAAATGCCAGCCATTGCCCCCTCCCTGCTGAACACCATGGCGGCCATCTTCTGGAGCCCTGCTCCACCAGGCTGACTGACTGACCTTCAGCTCCCCTGTGGCCACCTTAAAGACCAGCTCCACCACGCAGCCCACGGCTAGGCGGGCTGCCCCTGATGAGTGCACCTCGTTCCATATGGTGTCGCTGTCCACCTGTGGAAACAATGGTCCTCAGTAAGACATGTCTTATATCATTGTCACCGCCATCCTGAGGGGCTATGTAGCCTTGAGCTCTGAAAGCTCCAGGATCCCAGGCTTAGCCCTTCTGACCTCCAGACTGACCAGTGCCTCATGCCTGCTCTTTACCAGAGCACAACCAGTCCATATTTGGGCTCATTTCTTTTTAAAGACATGCAGAAAAAGACGAAACACAAAAGTAAAAGTGAAAGTGGCAGAAAGAACATGTGTTCTTTACTCTCTCTGAGGCACCCTATCTCCTCTCAGTTGCTCCAAGAGACTGGGAGATAAAAGTAAGAATGTCAAGGTTACCGAGTTGCTCCTCTTCATTTTTTTTTTTTAACTACAACTGGAGTTAAGACTTGAGTTATGCTAACAATTAGCAAAATGAAATGTCAGAGAATTTAGAATAGTGGTCTCTTCAAATTATGGCTTTCTATTGTGCGGCATTAATTGCCAAGCACACATAAAGGAAGGGGAACCTATTAGCAGCTTTTACTTCAAATGGCAAATGGCCAGTAAGTTCACCTACTGCTTTTAGCACAGTAGAATGTATTTTCAAGGCTGGTTCACAGGAGAAAGATAAGACAGACCCTGACAAAAACAAACAGACAACAAACAGAGCCCTACTGCCCACCTTGCAGCATTATCTAAAGCATGGCTACTCATAAAAGGGCATGCACATGGAAAGGTGCTGGCTGGCTGCTTTGGCTGGAGAATCAGTTCATTAAAATCAAAGGCCAACAGTCCAGGACAGACTCCATCAGTTGCCCTACACCTGGGGGTAAGGTGGCAGGCCAGTTCCAGAGGCTGCACCCAGGCCAAAATGACTCGATTCAGGAATTATTTCCTTCCCAAATGAAAGGAGCCTAGCCTTAGGGCTCAGCAAGGGCAGCAGGGAAGGGTTAATGGACAATAGCAGCCTGAGCTGCAGGGCCCTCTGTATACTCTGTTCACCTGGGTACCATAAACAGTGTCTGAAGGCTGTCAGGACCTCCTCCTGGCATATTTTGGACACAGTGAAGGACCAACCCTTCCCCTGGCTGCAGGATCCCAGGTTGCCACTGTCCCCAGACAACCTAACAAGCCCTTCCTGCTGCTCAGGGCCCTATGATTTTAGTCCCCAGCTCTTGGCTCTGGCTGTGTATCCTGGTGATACACAGCCTGTTTTAGACAGGGCAGTGATGCAATCACGAATACAAGACTGGGAGCTAAAGGAAGAACAAATGGCTGTTCTTTTACTGTTTTTATAGTAAAGACAGAAAACAGATGGAGGGAAGTGTGAAGGGGGATTCTCATGGAGAACTGCAGGGAGATTCAGAATGGTTAATTGAAGGGGTGGCAAATTTAGGGTGAGCCTGGGGCTTTAGGACTCATGGAGGGGGGGGAAGAGGGAAGGGCAGCAGAGTCCAGGCTACAACCACAGGCAGGGCTTGTGGGGAAGGTGCCTAGGGAAATTCAAGGAACACTGAGTCCCACTAATTGGAAACTTGTAATAAGGAGGTAGAGACAAAGTAAAAGTTTCTTTTATTTGGTTTTTAAAAAGAAGGTCAAAACAATTTAAAACCTATATTTAACAGTTAGGGAAGAAAGAGTGTTAAGCTCTGAAAGTACCATTACACAACTTAATGCTGATATGAAGCTGCTTTCTTATCCTGCAGAAGTCCCAGTCCCGTCCCATCCAGTCCCGTCCCGTCCCCCACTCTGGCTACAGGTCTACTTTGCTTCTCCCAGCACCTCAGGGGCTGGTCCTGGCTCTGGAAGCAGCTGCTGAGCTGGGAGGGCTGTAGCTGTACAAGTCCATCCTGAGTGCCCACAAGTTATCTTCTCACTAGAGGTCCTATGGAAAAGAATACCTGAATAATCCCTGCCTTATGCTGTGTTGCTCTTACCGGCTCATCTGCACGTGTGCTGGGTACATATCTGCACCCAGCCATTAGCTGAAGCTCTGGCTGACCTGAGGCACCTCAGATTTGGGCTTAACACTGGAAGGGGGCTGCCTAGGCTCAAACCTCCCAGGTCTGAGCTTGCATTTAGCTTTCATTTACAAATTATAAACTCTGTCTTGCTCAGGCATGGTGGCTGCAGGGCAGTGCAAATTGAAATCTTTTCAAGTCTGGCCAAAAATTTGCCCTGAATTAAGAGATCGCAGCCTATTTACAATACAAATTAACTCTAGGAGTGCTCAGTGGTGGTATGAATAAATGCAGTTTATTCTCTTTCTGACGGGATAATTTTCAAAGCAGTGATTTCTGTAAAGACTCAGGAAGAAAACAATTTTGTTTCATTTCCATAACACAATCCAGACCTTGGCCTCACCCTGCAATCTGTGATTACACACATGGTGCAGGTTCAGCTGCAACAGCTTTTGCTGACCTCTGGTCCCTGCCTGCCTTGCCCCTCTGTGACCCTCTGTAGCGGTCTTCAGCGCTAAGAGACCATGAGGGTCAGCAGATCAGCCAGGAGGCTCAGCCCCACCTGCAAGTTTCAGTTCTCCCTGGTGTGCCCCACCTGTTCCATCAAAGGATGCATCCAGGGGAGAACCTTAGGTTGCTAATGAGAGGTTTGATGAGAGGATGGGCCTGCCCTATGCAGATGGGGTGGATGCCCAGATGGAAAGTTCTTTGTCATTTCTGTACTCCTGCCTGTTTTCATAAATGGCTAGCTTAGATCTTCATCTGCTTCTAGAAAAAGAAGAGGCTAACCCAGCCCAGTCAGCTGTCTTACAAATATTACGTGGTCCATAGGTGTCCTGGTTACTGCATTGAGAACTTCACCTGAAGCTTTGGGTTGGGGCATGGTCACAAAACAGGTACATCTGCCCAAGGAGGCTGTGGGACCTGAGTGACCAAGCAGGGTGCTGCAGGACCTGGGAGCTGGAACATGTTGCACAAAGTCCAGCAGGGTCTAAGCCATGTGCACCGGATGACTTTCCCAAGGGAGGTGCTCGTGGCTCACAGCACTTGAAGGTGCACATGGGCACCTCTGCCCTCCCACCGGCCCGTTATGGAAATGCCTGGCAGCAACCACTCACTCTGGGGAGAGCAAGGCAGATTTTTGTGACCACTGGGGCTCTGAGAACACACAGGACACCACTTACACATTAAAGAAATACTTACCCCAACACCACCACAAGGAAGCCTGACAAACACCGAAGTCAGTGAGCCTGTGAGGAGAGAAGGTTAGAGGAAGCGCTCAATTCTCAGGGTGTAGTGGCACTGTGGAACTCTAATGGTCCAGAGCCTACTGCTCCTCCATTGCCACCCCTTGTCTCTGAGGCAGACTCTGCATCTGACCCTGGGCACAACTGAGATTCCCCAAGGCATTAGTCCTCTGCTGGGGGGAGGAGCATGGGGTGAGGGCGAGGGACTCCTGCTAGTGCTCAGGCACCAACAGGGGTAGGGAGCCCTGCACTCTGAATACCCCTACAGCAAATGCCGTTTTTAAGACACTGGCCCTGGTTCCCCAGTGAAATCCACTTGCCTGCACCCAACACAGGTTCTAGGTTTGGAGGCCCTAGCAGGTGTCCTCAGCTATGGGAGAGAACAGGCTTAGAACCTAAAGCCTGTGGTGAGGCTATTTAGACACTGAAGACTGTTCAGGAACTGAACAGTGCAGCCCCTCCCCACTTGTAACAATGACCAAGAAACTAGCTGCTCACATCCCTGCCCCTTCCCCTCCATATCTTACAGTGCCCATACTTTATACTCCTTCCCCAGTGACTTGGGATAGAGACAATGACTTTCTTCCTGTGACTCCACTGCTGGCAGAATGTAAGAGACCAGCCTAAAACCCAGCTCTAAGGTTGCCCTGGCTACACTATGGCTCTTGTACTTCAGGAGCCAGCCTGAGAGAGCTCTGTGCACTGCCTTGGTCCTTTCTGCCCCTTGACCTCCATAGCCCAATTCCTTCCTGAGCCAGGTCTGCAAGGTAGCACTTGGCACACTCCAGGGGGGCCTTACTTTCTGGACCTGGCAGAGTTGTGCCCACTTTCAGGAGGACCACCCACCCCACCTGTCTGATCTGACCCTAAATTCCTGCTATTGCTCTGGATTTCAGATTCATGCTCCTTGCACTGGGGGCCTGGTGGCATAGGAAGAAAACAGGCTTTGGGGACAGTCAAACCCTGGCCTGACTCCTGCCTGCAAGCATGGCCAGCTGAGTGAGCTTGCTGCAAATGAGGACCACACCCTCTCACAGGGTGCTGGAAAGAGCACGTGAGATGGCAAACACCCTGGGAGCAGCCAGGCAGAGGAGAAGCTCAAGAAGCAGGGTTTGCTGTCAAAACATAGGCTGGTTGCCAAGGTCCAGAAGTCCCCAGCCAGGCTCCTGTAAGGCCCATGGCTCCAAGGCACCCCTCCATGAAGGCCTTAGAATCTACAACAAAGCTGGTAGCTTGGGGCTCGCCTCCATGCTGTCAAACTATTGCATCCACATTCCCAGGCTACACAGCTGTCATGCAGTGCAGGCACCAGGAGGGCTCAAAGGACATTGACCTTTCTGGAAAAAAGGCAAAACCAGCCCTCACGTGGCGGATCAGAGAAGGGGGCCAAGCTGAGGGGCAGCAGAGCTTCCTTTGACCCTGTGGCCTTCCCATTTCGGCACAAAACCACTGCTGCTAAGGGGCCCACATGTTTTTGTAGGGGCCAGGTTTTGGGCCCATGCTGCCCAGTGCCCCAAGTGTGGGTCTGTGCAAACTCGTGGCTGCTTATGGTCTGGGCCCATAGTTACCAGAATACCAGGGCAGCACACAGACCAAGTCCTACCCCCTCCCTATTGCTTTCAGTCCTCAAGTTCACAACCACTGAGGCAACAACACCCTTGTTACCTTTCCTACCATTTCTGAAGGGCTAGGATCCTCAGATCTTGCCTGGGCTAGCTTATTACAACTCACCCTGTCCTCCTGCCTTTGCTTGCTAAGCTACCGTAGCCTGCGTCTAGGACTCCCAAGCCCATGGGATGCACTGTGCTTGGCCACAAGGCTGCTGGCCCTCAATGGGCTCCTTGGGGCAGCAAAAATTAGATCTGCAAAGGGAGAGGGCTGGCCACACAGGGGAGCCACATGCTAAGGAGATGGTTTCTAAGTGGAGTTGACCCCTTTCAGAGGTGCTGGGTACAAAGAAAGCAGGGATGAGGTAGATGAGGGAGGTCTGGGCTGGTAGAATAAGGCTGGAGAGGAGGAGGAGTGTGGGCCCCAAGTCACCCTGACCTGCTTGCTGTCCACTATCTTACAGCAGTCACCTGATGGTCTACTTCATGGACTGAAGTCACAAAGGCAAGGCACCCTGGCCTCTGACAGACCACTGCCTTCAAGAGCAGGAAGCAGACTTAGAGAAGCAGGGTGGAGAAGCCCCTTCCCCATCACTCCCTATCACAACACAGGACCACCACACTGTGGATGAGGAGCTCGTTCTTCCAGGTTCTCAAGCGTCCCCTTTACATGAATTCCTGAGCATGTGGTGTCCAGGCCTGTGAGAGACTGGACTTTCCTTTTAAATTATAACCAACAATGTGTACATTAAAACCACAAATCATCTGAATAAGTTGATTCTGCTCGTTATTCAGCAATGAAAGAAAAAACCCAAAGGAATTATAGCTCATACTAAACAGCTCCAGCTTGGGTGGATGGTGGGTACAGCACTCTCAATAGGGTATCTTTCTGGCAGTAGTGTACAGTGTCATTGTCAGCTGCCCCCATGAGTACCTGTCCCAGCATGTGTGTGCTCCTTAGAAAACCAGCTGCAGCCCAGCTCTGACTCCCTGTGGTTCAAAGCTACAAACTTGGCCAGAAGACTGGCATGAAGTACCCCCTCCTTTTGTCCACTCATAGCAGGCTGGGTGGTGTTTCAGTGGCAGGGATGAAGGCAGTAGGAAAGACATGGACTCTCCTGTAACTCGGCTCCTCAGCAGAAGTGGGCCTTTCTAGGGGCTCTGTAGACCTGTCCTGCTCCAAAGCCACCCTAGGTCAGGCTCCCTTTCCATGCAGTATTGTGTCATATGCCACCAGGAAACAAACCCCTTGACTTCTAGGGATGGTGACCAGCCTTCCTTTGTCTGCAGTCCATTTCAGTTGAGTTTGCATGTGTGCCATGTCATTGCATGAGTGAGGAACTACAAAGGGCCTTTTGCACATGGTATAGAAATTTGTAGATTAAATTAAGAGAGGTAGGAAAATCACAGTAGTGCTTAAACATATAATTAGGGTTACGTAAACAGAATTTGAGATACACTATTACTTTCTGAAATACTTAGATCAAGGATGGTGATGGTACTTGGTTGGGATAATCTGCTGAAACTTAAATGTGGTTCCCACATAGCGAGAAGGTAAAGGACTAAGTATATTCGAAAGCACAAAGCTTTGAAGGAAAGGAAAGGACAAAGAATAATCTGTGCATTACATATACACAGTGATGCAGGATTACAACAACATACTTAAGTCAACAAAGAAACACTGAGTACACTAAGATGGCTGCTATGGGGCAGAAATGGGCATAAGGATTCAGGAAAAACATTTCAACAAGGAAGCTAAAGAATGAGAGGGGCTTCCAGGGACCAGTACTGGCCAGAAGCTGAACAGCAGGCTGTCAGGTGACCAGCAGTTAGTGGTGAGCAAGCTCCAAGGCTCACATACATGCATCTTTACTGTTCCCTAGGACACACTTGTACAGTTCCACGCTTCCATTCTGATAATCTTAAACCTGGTTTGAAACTGACTTAAGATTCTACAACATTCTCCCATTGGTGACTTACGTTCTCCTTCACCTCTGACTTGGAAGCCAATCCCTGCTCTAGTGAATTTCACAAGTGAGGGAGACTGGTAGGCAAAGCATTCTGGGTGGTGCGTTGAGCAACAATGGGCCCTATGAAGACCAACAGTCAAGAGTAAGGGTGGCCAGGGCAGAGCATCTGCCATACTGAGAGGAGATGCTGGTGACTAGTATAACATGTCCAGAAGGGTGCCTCCCCAGATGATGCTCCTCTGACTGGAGGCCGTCCAGCAACTCCCAACGACTGCTGCTGCCAGTGTTGTGGCAGTATCGGTGATGTGGTGGCAAAGGCCCCATCTTAACCTGGACCTGCTGCAGAGCAGGCAGAAGCTAAGGTGCCAAACAGGAAGTTACCCCTGACAGCCTCTGGCCTGGGTATCCAGCTGTTCAGGTCTAGACTCAATATAGCCTGCCTGCTCCCACTGTCCACAATATTCTCCAAGTCACTTCCCTGAGTTACTCCACACCTTCTTCTCAGACTCTGGGTTCCCCTGATATCACCACCTGTTCCACCCAGGAGTTCTAGGCCTTCCCTTGGAGCCAGCTGCTTCAGCGGACCCATTCAAGGCAACCTCATACTGGCCCGCCCCACCCATAAGCAAGAGGATGATGGCCTGGGCATGACCACCCCTCACAGTTACTAGCAAATGGCTATCTTTCTGGTGGCAGCTTACACACCAAAGAGCCCATGTGATGTATGGACAGACTGCACTGTGAAACTACTGCATCATAAACCACCTGGAAGACACCAGTGTCCTCACCAGCCCTGCCTCACCCTGTTTCTGGCCACTGGTCCCCATGCTTCTTGTGCTTTCACCTCCTGTGGTCCCAGAGCTAGGGCAGCTGAGCTGTGGAAAACCAAATTAGGAGCAAGGCCAAGCAAAGGGTAGAAACAAAGGGGGAAAATGCCTCTATGAGATGACTGCTCCCAGGAGATAGGATGAGGGAGGCCAGACCACACTCTGGCAACTGCTGGAAGAAGTTCTGGATGTATTTTAGGGAATGGGCCCCTGATGCTAGGGCCTTGGGTAGGCTGTGGATCAGGATTTTCCTCTGAGCCCACCAGGATGGCCTCCATTCAGGTGAGCCTTGACTGCAAGACTTGGTATGGAATCCAGATGGGGAGAGTCTGGTGGGCGGAACAGGAAATGCATAGCAGGAAAGCGAAAGCATCTAGCCTTGGTCAGCATGAGCTTCAGCAGCACATGGCATCTCAGGTGACACCTGCATGGGTGGCTCTCAGCTGCACAGCTTCAGGCTGCTGATACGAGGGAACAGGGCTGTTTTTTAGAGCATGCTTTGGGTCTTGGATGGGTCTTCTGCCTGCATGGCAGCCCCTCTCTTAATTTCCTCTCATACTAGCAGAACGTGCCTTCTAGTGGCTCACTGAAAAAGAATGCTCTAGAGATAGATTTCCTGAGCTGCAGATTCTTCCACTCCACCCTGCTGCTCACTGGCAGCCTACCTGGGTGAAAACCTCAGGAAGGAAGGGATGAGCCTCAGAGCTGGTCTTGTGCCATGCTGAGAAACCACCCTGGTCACCTCATCTTAGTCCCCCCAGTGGTTGTTTTCAAGCATTCCTCTGGTGCTGCCTGGTGTGGGTGTTCCCACCCTCTGGGGCACTGCAACCCAACTCATACCCTTCACTTCTGGGTCTATTTGGTGAACCACTCCAAAGATGCATTCCCACCACTGTTGCTTTCTTGGCACCTCTATGACTAGAACCCTGGTCCTCTCCTTCCTCTTCCCTACTGTACAGCTGTCCTTTTGCTCCACTTCTGGGATCTTCTAACCCAGGACTTCCTCCTTCTATGACAGTGCTTTGTTTCAAGTTCTCTGACCATCCTATATGTTCTCCTTGGCCACCACACTTGTCCACATTGCAGGGATGCAGGGCCTTCACTCTTTAAGGATCCTGACAACAGTTTTGGTTGACTCCTGCCCTTCCCACCCGGCTTAGCCTCAGTCTCCAGCCACATGGCATGTATAATTCCTCAGGAACCTGAGAGTTCCCAAGCAGCCTCTCCCATCGTACTAGTAGCCTCAGTGAGAACCAGTGGAGGATGAGGGCAGGATCTCTCCTTATTTCCTGACTGGGCATGGTGGAGAAGGGTCCGCCTACCCTAGCTGGCCACACACAGCCTGAGGCTGCCCCAGATGCATGGTCCATGGGCTGGAAACACCACATGGGTGAGATCAAACCCAGTAGGGAAGTCAGGAAGGTCTTGAATACCTAGAAGTTTCTTACTGTCCAGTTTCTGCCTATTGAGGGGGTTTGTGCCATAGAGGAGTGTGTGAGCTTCCGAGTGTACTGTCTGCAGCTCCTCCAGCGTGGCCTTCCGTCCGCGGATGCACTGTGGGGACACAAGGTTGAAAGTATACTCACATCTCTGTGTTGCTGCTAGCTCACTGACAGACATGCCATTGCCCTAAAGGAAACTTGGTTCCCTATGTGAACAAGCACACAATTATTGGATTATTGCAAAATAAAAAGCAAACATCATCCAATACAATATTAAAAAAATATTTAAAAACATTTTACAAAGCTTGCATTTTAATTATAGCTTTGAAAAACATTTAAAATAATAATTCCAGCCTTCAAAGTGTTACCTTCACTGTCACACAAACGATTTGGCAACAAATTATTACTTTGCTTTCCACTGCCAGGGTCTAGTCTTAAAATAGTGATGAACTGCCAAAGGCAGTGTGAGCTGCTTTGCGGGAGTTCATGCTGGAGAGGAGCTAGAGCCACTATTCCTTGCTGCATGGTAGAGCAAGGGGCACTGTGGCCCTTCTCAGCTGCACGCTGGCATACTACAGGAGAGCTGTACATGTCTTGGGCAGGGGGGGCTACTGGGGAGTCCTGCTTTTCTCTGCAGTTTGGAAACTTCTCTAATGAAAATTTATGGGGTATTTTTTAGATATGCTCCAGAAATTAACAGAAAAATTAACTGTTCTTCAGTTGAGCTATTTACTTAACTTATTAAGAGGACAGTAGTTTATGACACAAATTAAGTCTTTTATTTGAAATGGCTCCCTGAGGGCCAGGCTAAGGCAGGGATAGTCAACACTGCTCTGGTGGCCTTGGCCTGTTTTCATGGAGCAAGGCATGGTCTCCTCCTCCTGATCACTCAGGTTGCCCAACACCAACTGACCTGTAGGTCTTGCTGTCCACAGCTGAGTGAGCCTCATGGGTGGGCTGTACTGGTGCTCGTTACCCACGATGTGGGCCTGGAGCTGCTCTCAGGCTACTAACAGCCTCTGAACACAGACTTTGCTGCAAGATGCTCTGCACTTCAAGGACTAGTCCAGGCAGGGCAGAAAAGGAAGGGAGTTGACCCAGCAATGCCCTGGGCTGGGGAGGTCCGATCTGGGGAATTCCTTTTTGATCATTACCATCAATTCCATAAAAATCAGCTCTTCCCTGTTAAACTACCTTGTGCAAAAGAGAAGAGGCAGTCCCTTCCAACCATGGAAAACCAGCCTACGATCCTACCCACACCTGACTTTATTTCTACCGTAGGCAAGGTGAGAGGGATACTCCGCAAGATGGGTCCTTGACAACTGCTGTCACCTGCCCCTTGCTTCCTTTGTCTCCATGTAACCGGTACACACAGGTGTGGCCAGTGCCACATTCTGTCTGGATAGTGTAGGCAGGCCATGCTTTGAGAGGTTGCGGGGAGGGTACAGTCCTGATATGAGGAAAGGGCAGGTCATGCTACATACTTCAGGGAAAGAAGGGCAACACATGTATCCCTCCCCACTTAGAGGCTGGCCTTTGGATGAGAGCCTCAATTGCAACAACAGAGATTTAAGTTAGACAAAAGGAAGAGCTTCTAAACTAGAGTAAATGTTAAAATGAAGAATAAAAATACCCATCCTTACAAATACATAAAACACAGCCAGAAAAGATACACGACCTAACTATTGAAAGCTTTGGGACATCAAGACTACGTGGACAATGCAAGCATGGTGAAGAAAATTTCCTGGGACTACTCAAGTGTAATAAGGTCTGCCTTCCCTTTGCTTGGAAGCCTGTCTATTATTTCTGCCTCCCCTCTAGTTCCTAAGCAAGCACACACTTGTTCCTTACAGCAGGGAGTCAGGAGGTACCCTGTGGTGTCTGGGGCTCTACACATCTGACATCAAGCCCTCTCTGCCCTGTCCCCTCCTTCCTGGCAGCTGTGCTTGGAGGCAGGAGGTCAATATGCTTGAGCCCCCAGCCTGGAAGCTAAACAGGACTCCAGTCCTGAGCCCTCTATGAGAAGGCGGGTCAGCAGTCCAGTAGGGCTTTGAGGATTTGGAAACTCTTGGGAGGATTTCACAACATGCATGGCTCAGACCATAGAGATGCCTGACTGGCTGTGAGTTTGGTCAGGAGGTAACTACAGAGAAGCTGGTCACAGCTCTGGCTTTACAAAGACCTTCCTCCAATCCACAACCCTGACCAGTATGCTGACCCCACATGGCAGTACAAGGAGAGAAGTCCACCCAGAGTAAGCACAGACTGGAAGGCTTGGGCTCCTGAGCCTGGGGTTCACCACAGCACTGTTTACCTGGCTTTTCATTTACCAGGTGCCAACTCCAGTGATCTGTGTTAAGGACCCAGGTGTTTGGCTCTGCCATCTCAGGAAATGGTCTGACTGGGAGTCTGGTAGGGCACACAGTTCCCCGGGTTGTGTTAACATACAGGATCCCCCTTGGACCAGGAGAGCAATGCAAAGAAGCTCCTCAGATGTAGGATTGGGGCATTCATATCCAGGGACGTTATCCTTAGTGTTACTGCCACTGCGGTGGGTCCAAGTACCCTTTTCCCTCCAGACTTCCCCTCTTTATAGTTCTGAAAAATATGCTCTTGATCCACACAGGCAAAGGGGAGGCGGAGCACTCTCTCATGTGTTTACACTTTCTCAGTCCTGCCTGCCTCACTTTATGAATGAGAAACCCCTCCCAGACTTCTACCTCAGTGGGCCCCAGGGAAAGAGTGGCTGAATTAGTGAGGAGAGTGGCAGCTATTAGTGAATGCAGGGAACTTCAGGGTGCGTTGGAAGGGGCAAGAAGTCTGGTCCATCCTGTGGAGCCAGCTGGATGAGGAAGGAGAGTTTTCTTCATGGCCTGCATCTGCTGAGCAATGCTGCCCCCCAGTGGCACAGCCACCATGGCCAGATCCCAGAAGTAGATACCCATGGCCTCGTCTTGGCTTCACCCAGGCACTGTTCATCATCCCCTCCCCAGAGGGACTTCAGGAGAGAGTGGGGGGACTGATGTTGGACCCATCCCCAGAAAAATGATGCATGACCACAAAAGTGGTAAAAGACACTGGGATAACGTGAGACAGAGACTGACCTAAACTCTGGAACACAACAGCCTGTGGGGGTGAAGCAGTGGACTCTTGATTTCTCTTGAAATCAGACACTAACTGCACCAGGAGCTCTGAGGCACTCTGTATCACAGGGCAGAGTCGCCACCACAGCTCCAAGGAGGGATCTGTTGGGCTTTGCATAGCCCCTGGGGACCTGGCCCAGGTAGATGCCCAGGACTACTGGAGGAACAGATGTAGATGGTTCTTGGTGTGGGAAGGGGACATGGCAGGTCATGCCTGGTGGGCCTTCTACGCAATTCTGGGAGGTAGGCAGTGCTAGTGCCAGTGCACAGAAGGGGAAATGAAAGTTGTTCAGGCTACCAGCTCCAGGCCATGGGAGCCCTTCTCTCTATGCATGCACTACAGCAGGGGTTGGTCCCTGTACCTCGGGGCTCAAGATCCCTTAACACCCAGACAATGGTTGGGTCCATTCACGGATATGCCACTCTAGCCTGCCAAGAGGCCCAGGGAACCTCAACATGTTCTTAGATCAGTCTTTTCTCCCCTTGGGACAGCTGTGTTGTGGCCAGGTGAGGGGTTGCTGAGCAGGCCCACTTTTCTCTTGAGTCTCTGGGTCCTGTCTTCTACGTGAGGCTAGATGCATGTCAGGCAGCCGAGGCGAGCTAACACTTGATGCTAGGAATCACTTGTCCAGGGAAGTGAAAGGAAGAAAGTCAGCAAGGATAAAGTGGGTAAGAGACAGTTATGGAGCATCAGAAGGGGCACAGGAGAGAGGTGATTGAGAGGTAATGTGCCCTCATGGGCTCATGTGCTTGAAGCCTCATCCATAGTATGGTGGTACTGAGCCTGGGGGACCAGTACCAAGGGTGGGGATTCCATCCTCAGAAGGGACTAAGCCCAGGTCTTGTGTGAATGAGCTAGCTCTTTATAGGTGTGGGTTGTTATAAAGCAAGGCTGCTCCTTCTACACGCAGAAGGTTCCCTTTCTGTTTCTCCACCATGTTGTGACACAGCTGGTATCATTGGTGTCAATGGCTGATGCCATTATTTGGATCTTGTAGCTGCCAGAACTGTGAGTCAGATCAACACCTTTTCTTCATGAAGCCCTCAGCCTCAGCTACTCTGTCATAGTAAGAGAAAATGCACCAGGACAGGCTTCATGGCAGAAGGCCTCCTATTCTCCCACAGTATGGACAGCAATCCTGGAAGTTGCTGGGCAATGCTGCCCCCTCAACCTGCTGTGGCCCCTGAGCAAGAGAGCACAGCAATGGACACTGAATAGAGCAGGCTGCAATGGGCACCTGCAACAGTGCCCAAGGCAGCGGGACACTGCTCCCCACAGGCCAGTCATACCTCGCACTTGCCACGGAGGCCAGTCTCCTGCAGGCGGGACCAGATGCTCTGGATTCTCCCAGCGTGCTCAGGGTGGCTGTTGGTGTTCCCACAGGTGCACTGGTGCTTCAGCATCAGTGTGTCGTACACAAGGCCTGCAGTGAGACAGAAGCAGGTATAGTCAGAGCAGGTGCCCAGAGCTGGGCGACCATTCCCAAAGGTTGCCCAGGAAGGTGGCAGAACATTCCCAGAAGGGAATGGAGTGAAGGGCAATTCTTAAAATACCAAGTTCACTCCTTCTCATCCAGCTAGGCCCGGACGAAATAGACAAAGGCAGAGTGAGGCTGTGTGATTGGCTGGCCTATCACTCAGGCTCCTTAAATCACCCAATGTTCCCACCTGGGAGGTGTGCAGCCACAGCAGGGGGCCAGGTTGTGGAGAAAAAGGTGAAAAGAAGGCCTCCCCTAGGTCAGATCTTATAGGCTGAGGTCCATGCGGCATTCATGATGCAGAGGACTGTGCTTTTCTCTTGGCCTCAAACAGCACAAGTCTATTTGGTCATGGACCAACTTCTGTATTAAGTCAATCTGGTGGGTTGGGAACTGCCAAAGCTACCAAATGGTCAAAGAACCACAAGACTCAGGTCCTGTCCTGGAGATTTCCAGAGAGGGCAGGATATATGCACGAGAGGGTGCAAACACAGGTCCCTGAGCACACCCACAAGCACAGAGCTCAGAATCTTGCTGGTCACATGCTGCAGCCAGCATTGATGGGCCCTGGCAGCTCAGCAACATGAAAGTCCAGAACTCTCCAAGAGGTCACCTGCTGACTGTTCTCAGAACCAACAGGGCTGGCAGCTGGGGTTCCACTGCAGGGAAAATGGGTGACACACCCAGACTGATGAGTGGCTGATGCCATTGTCATGGCTGGATTGGGGAGGAAATACCATGGAGGAGCTTGTGTCTTGTCTCTTTGAGGCAAATCTGAAGACAGGTGGGAAAGCAGGTGGCCTGGTGAGCAGCAGGCCATGTTATTCCATGACAAAAGGAAGTGGCCCTAGTGACAGTGGGCAGGAGGGCTAGCTGCTAAGCCAGAGGCCGTCTGCATTCTGTTTTCAGTTGTTCTCCCAGGGACATTTAAGGGGGAGGCTGGGCTGGATGGACAGACACCCTGGGCAGCACGTCAGTGACAAGGGGGATCTGTTGGTTATTACGTGCATGTCTAGATTGAGAAAGGTGAAGCACTATGAAAAATGTGGGCTCTGGCAGCAGACTCATGGGCCGCCACTTCTAAGAATCTGATGCTTGTGCTCTTGAACTTGGAAAGAGGCTTGTCACCCCAAGGTGAGCAGAGACTCAAGGTGTCCTACTTCTTGAGGGAGCAGCTGGAGGCCTGGCCTGAGCATGTATTAGTTCTGTATCTTCTGGCTCAGTCTTGTGTGAGGGAGTCAGTCCCTGCACTTGAGGAATTCTGGAGGCAGAAGCAGAGCTGAGTGCTAGAAAATGGGACGTTGATAAAAATAACAGCAGGGTAGGTGCAGGTTTAGATGGCTGAATGGGTGCAGAAGCATAGTCAGTGCACCATATCGACCAGGGTGAAGGCAAGAGGGTATGGTCAGGAGTTTGAGATGGCAATACATGCAGGTGTATATGGACACACACACGTCAGTGTACGAACAATGTGCTGTGTGCACTGTTAAGAGCAGTCCAATAGTCACCAGGATGAAACAATGAGCACAGGGCTGGAGCCCATGAAGTGGGAACCACTGTTACTGCCTTTATAGACAGCAAAACTGCAGCACAGAGACGAGAAGGTGCCCAAGTTTGCACAGCTGATATGGAGCAGAGCTGCCAGCAGCCGTCCAACAAGAATGAACTACACAGATATGGGAAGGTAGCCAAGAGGGTGTGAAAGACTAACCACCACACAGGTTCAGGGAACTCTCAAACATCTCTGTCTGTCAAATAAATCATGTCAGCATCTATCTGTCCATCTGGCTTGCAGAGAAATACATTCCCAACAATGGGCTGCCACAGGAGAGAGGGACAAGGGCAGTCATTTTCCAAGGATTTCCATCATGTTTGTTGTTCTGATGAGGTGTTCTGATTTATCATAACTTTGAGAAAGTAGTAACAAAGACAAACCAAGAAGGGCATCGACAAAGAGAGGCCCACCTAGAGTCTCTTCTACCAGTCACAGAAGATCCTGTTTAGTGTGAGTCACCACCGTGGTGTCATGGCAGGCTCTCCCTTGTCTGGCCTGCATTCTTTCAAGAACACATTAACTTCAGTCAACAGCCAAGGGCTTGTGGAGAGGTCAACTCCACTTTCTGTTTTTTTCTTTATGAAAAGCACTTCTGGATAATTACTACTGAATTTTTTCTCTGAGTATCAACAGTTTCCTTCTAAAAGGAAACTGTTATGTCACACATATACCCTTCTATGGCTGAAAAGAATTCAGCCATATTTGCAGTATGCAGAAAAACAAGATGTCTTATGAGACTTATGAGGAAGGGCTCACTCCTGACTTCCAGTACCTATCTTCCAGGAAGAAGCAAAGGTACCTGCTGGAAAATGAATGGGATGGTGGGCAGATAAGATACCACAGGAGGGGATGGTGCAGAGATTTGTCCCAGGGATTCATGAGGCTTTGCTCTTGCATGGCTTTCAACTGCCTAGCGTGGCAACATTGCCAGTAAGTTACTGGGGCCTCAAAGCCAATGTCACACATATACCCTTGGTTTAGGGAGGAAGTAAATGGAAAGGAACAATTCCACTATTCCTGCTGACCAGGGATGGGACCTGGGAAGCCCCATGCAGACACATGAATTGGGAATGATCTCCGCCGAAGACTAGGATTCTGTGGGAAGGTGAAGGTGAGGGCTCAGCCTGTGCTGAGCCCCAAACTAACAAAATCAGGATGTGCCCCACAGCTGAGTGTGACCACTGGGCGCAGGGCAGCACCAACAGGCCACCTCCACTCTGAACAGCTCCCCCCAACCTCCCCGTAGCATGTACGTGGCCCATCCGCTTGTCACGAGGCCAAGTGTTACCTGTGGTGAACCTTGGCTTGGTGGGGGGTTCCTGAACCGACATGGGGAACGTGGCGGATGCTGGGGATGACTGTGCCCGAGACAGAGGCCTGTGGCCACCGAATGACACAGGGATGCCCGCAGCCTCCATGGATGCCTGGAAGTTCCTCAGCTGGTGGATCCGCTGCTGCTCCAGCAAGAGGGCTTGCTGCAGGAGGAAGGGGCTGTTGGTGAGTGGAGTGTTGTCTTTTCCCACTGCCTAGCTGAAAGGCCACTCACATCCCAATGGGACCCTGGGACTGGCTGAGGTATGTGTTCTCCATGGAAAGCGAAGTGGTGAGGCAGAGGTAAGGCCTCCAAGGCCACATGCCCAGTACCCTAGAGGTAGTTCCTTCCCGCAACTCCCAAAACAGCTGTAGAGGGACAGCTCAATGTCCTACTCTACAGGCCAAGAAAGCAGAGTGCCTTCTTATCTATGGCCCCCCCCAAGTCCTGTCTGAGTTTGGATGAACAAATCCTATGACCTAGAAAACCAGGTCCACAAATCCCAGCTCCTCATGAGAAGCAGGGCCCAGTCCTGGGCTGCTGATCACAGGAAGAACGCTTCTCCACCCAGGCTCCAATCTTCCTGCCCTCAGAAAGAAGGGTCAGAACAAAGCAAGACGCAGAGCACAGGGACACAGGAGGAACTAGTGAAGAGAGCCTGGCACCTCCTGTAGGAGCATGGTCACTGAACCACTTAGCCCTCCCCACAATGCTCTTAACCCAGCTCACCTCTGACCATGGTGGACTTGACCAGCTTAGTAACCAACTCTCCTGACATGCATGGTTTTATATATATAATTTGTTTTTGGCAGTTCTGGGGATGGAACCCCAGGGTCTTACCCATGCAGTCAAGTGCTCTACCACTGAGCCACAGCTCAGCCTATGCATAATTTCTGAAGAAAACTTGTGTGTGCTCTACAAACTACTACCTGTGCCAGCAAGTTCCCTGCTGAGGAGTTCTGCTTGTTATTCTCCAGAGAAGACAGCAAGCAAGTGTTCCCAATGTGTCTTATGCTTCGATGCTACACGGTCCTTTCCCTAAGCAATGTAACATCTGTAACATCTACCAGATACCAGCCCTACAATTAGCTACTGAAATACTCTGCATGCTGTATCTGGGTGATAGTGAAGGGTTCACATCCGCACAAACTCTTGAGGGCCTACTCTAGATAATGCAAATGATGCCCTCTAGGGGCCTGTCTACCCAGAAAAGGGGACAGCCCTGGCCAGAGATTGTCCTCTATGTCTGGTCGTAGGAGTTGCAGGCTTTCTTTGGTCATCCCGGCAGTTCTACTGGATTTTGAAAAGCAATGTTTAGAGTGAGGGGTTCTAAGCAAGTAGCTCTATAAATCACACAGGCCACCTCTGATCAAGACAGAGGAAAGCAGCCCAGAGCCGGTAGCTGACGACACACATAGTTCAGTCTGCTCCTGTTCGATAAGTTCTGCAGAATCGAGGCTGATGGCTTGTGTTGCCGCTGCTGCCTTGGTGCTCTAAGGAACAAATCCATGCTCACCCACAACTTTAGGTAGGAATGGAAGCAAACAGGTAAATGAGGAGGTTCTGGAGAAGTGGAGAAGCAGCTTTGGGCACATGCTAGGGCTGTCACAGGATCAGGGAGAAACTCAGCTGGGCAGCACCACAAGTCCAGTGAGCAGAAAATGGACAAACTAGTGGCTCCCATGCCCCAGACACAGCCCCTAGGCATTGAGCGTCACTGCTTAAGGTATAATTAAATTCCACTTCTCCTGCTCCCCTGGCTCATTTCCTGATTACCAGGCACAAGTAGTCTCCCCGTGGCACTCTGGCATCTAATCCAAGACTTCTCATTCGCTGACTGGCTGAAGCACTGCTGTAGAGTCAGCAGGGCTTTGTTTTGTTTTATTCTTTTAACTTTTCTATTTTTTGTGGTGCTGGGGTTTGAACTCTGGGCTTCATACTTGTTAGGCAGGTGCTTTACCACTTGAACCACACATCCAGCCTGAGTTTGCAGTTTTATTTTTCACTGGAAATTAACAAACAATTTACTGAATTTTTTTCATCAGTCCTTTCTGATTTTGGTTATTGTGCATGGGTGTTCCAGTGTCTTACTGGCAGTGCACATGCAAATCAAACTGTCTTTCTGGATCTGTAAGTCTGGTCACTAGTGTCTCCTTGGCTCCCAAAGGTCCTGGATTCTGGTCAGACCCTGCTTATCTTTTTGATTAACTAAGAAGCCAATTTTCCTCTCCCAGCTTTAGCAGTTATGCCGAATCCTACTGATGCCTGGCTTTTACATTAATCTATAGCACACAAGACCTCAGGGCAAATGGTCTCTGGGAATCTAGAGAATCTAGAGAGTTTTCTGGAGAGCAGGTACATGAACATCCACAGAAGGCCAACGTCCAATCTGCCTGAGTATGGAGTGTGAAACAGAAATACATCCACCTCTCTCACCCACCAGGAAGATAGTGGAGGCCTGAGACAGTGGAGTGTCAAGTGACTCATGTAGTACCCTGTCCAAGGGAGCCCAAAGGTGGTTGCTGAAGGCTGGCCTGCCTACTCTCCCTGCCTCGCACCTGTCTGAAGAGCAGTTCCTGCTCTGTGGGCGGACGCTGGCCTGGCTCTGCTTCTCGCACAGGCTCTGCCTCCTCCTCGTCACTCTCAATGGGCTCCTGCTTCACCTGGACACCAGCAAGTGTATGAACCTCCTTCTGCCCTGGGAGCCGGTCCAGGAAGGGCTCGTCCAGCAGGGCCTGGTGCTCACGGAGCTCCTCCTCTGTCTCTTCGGGGTGGCTCTCAGGCTGCCGGGCTGGCTCACTAGGTTTGGGGATAATCTGCAATGCAGGGGACACAAACAAAGTCCAGACAGAGGTCATCAAACAGCCCCTCATACACTTGGCACTTTAGGAAAGCATCGCAAAGGACCTATGGTAACACTGTCACTCTGAGGCAGGGATGACTGGTGCTATTCATTAACTCATACAATCTGGACCCCGTACTATCACTGTGTGGAGGAAATGATGCCAGCAGAGCCCCAGCCCAGGGACAGCAGACTGGCACCTGATGTTCCTAAAGTACTTCATGTGTACCAGGCATGGAGAAACTCGAGCCAGTCACAGATGTTGGCCCCATGTGAAGAGTAGTGGGTATGTGGGGAAGGCCTCTGCTTCACACACAGCCACAGTTGTTGAGAACCCTTGTCCCTTGCTCAGCCAAGCTGCCCAGAGGGACACACTAGAGAGTTGGTAGAGAACTCAGAAGAAGGACAGAGGCAGACATGGAGTGCTGCAAAGTCTGAACTGGACAAGAGAAGCCTCATGAGGACGTTCCTGGAGGAAAGGACTGACTAAGCTGCTGACTTCTGCCAGCTGTGTTAAGTCCCAAACCAATGCCTCCTCTGTACATTCACTCTGTGTGCTGACTACGGAAATGATGTCAGTGGGGCCCTAGCTGGGAGCAGGTGCCAAGTTCCCTGGGACCTCAGTGGACCTTTATAAAGGAACCACACTACTGTGGAGAATGCATCTTATGTGGACAGCCTGGTATGTTACCTCAAAATGCCATTCACAGAAGCAGAGTGGGGCAAAAGGGGGAAATGGAGGGAGACGCTGGCCACTGGCACATTGTCCCTGACAAGACAGGCAAGTTCAGGGGATCCAATACATAGTGTGGTGACAATGGACTTGCTGTGTGTGTGTATGTGTCTGTGTGTATAGATCATGGTGACGATGGCACTTGCTGTATGTGTGTGTGTACAGATCATGTTACATGGGACACGATGTCCCACCATGTAAACATGCACAGTCTTGGCCCACCTGGAGACAGCTAGGAAGAACCCAGTTCACACAAGCCAGCGGCCAGCCGTCTACTTAGCTGTTGCAACAGACCCCTCTCACCAGCTTAACAAGAACAAATTCTAAACATTTCACTTGCTGTTGTTGAGATTTGTGAACTCCCTTGCTCCTGCACACGGGAGCCCCTGACCCTCAGCATGGCGGGAGCAGCAGACGGGAGCCTGGTGGGATCCCATTCTGCCCAGCAGGGGCACTGAGCAATCCTGGCCTCCTGGGCCTCTCTGGGTCTGGCTCTTGAGGATCCTTGGCAGGGAGGTCACTGGTATTCTTGCATATTGCTGCCCAAGGGCTTGGGATGGTCTGACTGGTAACAGAAGACGTAGCCTGGGTGGATGACAGAGCTCAGTGCTAAGGGAGGGAGGGAGAGCAGGGAGATATCTTGAAAAAACCTGAGAAAGCTCCTGGAAGAAGGTTCCAAGACAGCCAAGTGGAGTCATGGCACAGAGATGGGTAAGGACCAGGAGGAAGAAATAAGGGCAGCCAGAATGGGTTTCGCCCTTCAGGAACAGAGGCTCTAATGTGCTGGAGGGCTACAAATGCAGGGATAGGGCTAAGGATGGGTAGGACAGATACCCATACCACAGAACTAAGAATGGAGACATGGGGGTCTAGAGCACAGAGCTAAGGATATGGGGATGGGATCCAGACTACAGGGCTGAGGACCAGGGCAAGGAGACCCAGCCATAAGGTTAAGGACAGGGAGGATGGGGGTCCAGGCCATTGGACTGAGGACAAGACAGGGTGGGGGATACGGAGGGCCTGACTTCAGGGTCAGGACATGGGGACAGTGGCTCAAAGGATTGCTCATCTGGTCCCGGGTGAAGAAGGGCAGAAGTGCAAGTACAGAGTTTGGCTAGACAGATTGAACAGTGAGTGGGGAGTCCAAGGAGTAGACCAGGGAAAGCACAGTGAGAAGTCCAGCAAGAAAGTTGGAGTGTGTTCTGAGATTTTGGAGATAGATAGGTCAGGGGATAAATACTATCAGAAACTAATAACCAGCCAGACAAAGTCCTTTCTGTCTTCTATGAGGTTAGACTTCTACAGTGTCTCACAATGTAAAATGCTCCAACTTAGAGGAGGGGTCATTTCCTCATGACTAGACTCAGGTTCCTGCTTCTAGGCAGGAACACTAAGGCTGAAAGATGATGGTGAGTTCCCTCAGAAACCTAGGGCAGGAGGCACTGGGATGCTGACTGCCCAAGGCCTCCTCTGTGGGGAGGGTGCTGGACGTGTCGACATCTGTGAGCACCTTCTACTTTCCATGCAGGACACTGGGAGGGCTTCAGGGTGGAACATCGGAGAGCTTTGGCTTCTTCATTTTTAATTTTCTATTCCTTCATCTCTACTGCCAGGCCAGACTCACTGGCTTCCTCTCCAAAGCTGGCCTAGGAGTGTGGATGGAAACATGGGTGCAGAAGCTTTACCCCTGAACCCACTCAAGCTGTGTGGGCATCACCTGCAGCCCTCACAGGCTGGGCAGAGGAGGAAGAGCTAAAGATAGCTAGGGCTAGCTGCATCTCTGCCTCAAGAGAGACAGCAGGCAGAGTAGCCTGGCCGGAGGTGGAGGCATGAAAGTCCCTCAAGGGTGCCTTTCCCGGGTGTCCTCGCAGAGCAGAGGACTCTGAGTCCCTCAGAGGAATCATGGCTCTGGGAACTCCATGGGGACCCTGAGATGGAGGCTTGGGGAGTACTGGCTCTTGCTGGGCTGTGGGTAGACACAGGCACACTTCACATCCCTAAGAGCCCAGAGGTTCCCAAGGGGGAGCCAAGCTCTCTCCAGAGGGTGCCTGGGAGGTATGTTACTGTGGCAGCAAGGCCACCCACGTCAGAGTCCTGTCAGTGATGCAGAGCAGACCCACGGCCCACAGCACCACGGCCACTTGGTCAGCACTGACGTAGGCATCAGTGTGGCCAGCCTCCCTGAGCTGCAGCCACAAAGAAATCCACTCCCCCACCCTGCCTCTTTGAAATTCAGCCCTGCCTCTCTAGGGCCAAGCTGTGGGTAGGCCCTCACCACAGAGCTGGCTTCAAGAGCTAAAGCTGGCTGAAGGCAATGTGGTGGGAGAGGCCGGCAGGGAGGAAGCAGCAACTCACCAACATGTCAGCTTTTGTTGTTCAGAGGTCTCTTGGACACCAGGACCCCCTTGTACCAACTGAGTGAAAACAAATGCCCCTCCATATTTAGAACAATAACTTTGTAAGAAGTCAGAGTACAGTGCAGGGCCAAAACCACACTGGCAAACGTGCTGATATTTAAAAACTCCTGGACTCACTAGCAATTTAACCCCCCAAATGAGCCCTAATTCTCAACATTCACGACTGAGAGTGTGGCACTGAGGGAAGCAGAGCTGACTCTGAGGCGCACACTCAAAGCCCTGGCCGTGTGAGAGTGTGAGAGTCTGGCAATCATGGGTTGCAGAATTGTTTTAACAACTGCCTTCAACTTGTAGTAGAGACACTTTCAATATCCTCTTTCAAGAGGAAGAAAAAGGCACTTCACCTAAGCATAACTTCCCACTTTATACAACCAGGCCTTGGCCAGGTTATGTCCAGAGATGGCAGTCAATAGAGGTTGCCTCCTTGCCAGGCTCAGAGCACCACTCACTAGGATGGCACATATTCCCCAGTAGGCTCCAGTCACTGCACAACTTTGAGGCATGCTGATGGCAAGGCACAAGACTCACATAGGACTAACCCCAAGCTAGGAGCAGCAGTGACCACCCAATCTGTAGTCACGGAGAAATGGGGGGAGCCAGCCCAGGTAGGCCTGTTCTGCAAATTGGGTTTTCACAAAAAGGCCATTTCCTGAACTGCAGAGCTCAGGAGAATTAGAGTGACCTCATAAGGCTAATAGGAACATGGCATGAGGATGGGGTGGCCTTTCTGTTCCAGTGACATCTTCAGGGCAGTGGAACTCTGAAACAGGCTGAACAAGCAATGGGCCAGGGAGCCCCACTGCATCAATCAGGTTGGGGATGGCCTTCAGGGATCAAGCTCCAGGAACAACCTCTGCAAAGACCAGGACAGGAACATCAGTGCCAGACAGTACCAGATAAGATCACTGTCTTCCTGGGCGTTCCCAGGAAAACATTAAATAAATGTTTCAATCAACTGTCATTTGCTACCATGCATCAATCATGTAACAAAATTCACTGAGATTACCTGACTTTTAAATCTCTCTTTTCAAGAGTACACCACACATGATGGGTGTTTCCTGTCTTCCTCAAACCTCCTACTGTATCATTCAGATGGTGACATGTGCAATTAACAAGCCTCGGCTGGCATTAGAGAGATGGATGTGGAAGTGCATCTGACACCTGGGACTACAGACACTTGGCAGGCAACTGTCTCACCCTTGGCAAGTTCCTGTACTGTGCAAATGAGGAGATGTTCAGCACCCCACTTCTGACATGCTCACTGCATGTGGCATGAGGGCCTGAGGGCCCTGCAGTGGGTGAGGAGAGCCCATGGTCGCAGTGCTGGGTGGGTAGGAGGGGCCTGGGTTTAGACTGTGCTGGGCATATGGGCTAAGGCAGCAGCCACTGGGATTAAGACACTGAGGACTCCTTGATCCTGTGCCTCCCAGCCTACAACAGAGAGCACAGTGGGGTGGATGTGGGGAGAAGCCACTCCTATCTTTAAGGAGCCTTCTCAAAACCGGTTCACCATTCTGGGAGTGTGAAATGAAGCCTTTGGCCATGCTGAGGGCTCTGTAGATGTCCTTCTGGGAGGGAGCCAAAGGGACTTGAGGGGAAACTGGGACCAGGCAGGAGTAAGGATCAGTGTCACTGCCCACAAGATGATGGTTGGTGCAGGGCAGGGGCTTTCCTCCTTATGACTCCACTTGTACTTGACCTGTCAGGAAAGCCTCTCCTCCATCTCTCAGAGAAGCAAGAGAGGCCCAGATCCTGATGACAGGGCCTGGCTTCAGTCGCACCCTGCCATGCTGTGCACCCTCACCTGCTACACAGATGTACTGAGTCTGCACACAAGCTCCAAGCAGCACTGTACCGCCCCAGGCTCCATGCTAGAGCACGTGCTTAGCTATTCCTTCCTTCCCTGTCTGTGGCTGTTCAAAGTTATCAGGGAATGAGGTGGGCAGCAAGGCACAGACCCACCTTGTTCATGTGCGCCTCACCTTCCCTTCTCCTGGTTCAAGGTCAGCAGGAGAGGGGGCAGGGGCAGACCCACCTTGCTGAGGTGTAGCTGCTGCTGCTGGAACTGCTGCTTGTGCTTCTCCAGGAACTGCTGGTGCTGCTGCTGGATGACCAGGTGCTGCAGGGCCTGTGCATTCTGTGGCAGGGTGCTGACTGTGTGCGGCCCAGTGGGCGATGCTGCCGCAGCTTGTGGATGGATGGGGACACACGGTCTGCACCGACCAACGACTGTGCGTGGAGGGGCAGTGCCCCCAGGCCTGAAAGATACCAGTCTGAAGATAATATGGAGAAACAAACAGCAGAGGGGGAAGAGGAAGAAGAAAGGGGAGAGAAAGCTGTTGAGTAAGCAATGGAGACAATGGTGCACACCTGTGGACCCAGGTGCTTGCTCCTACAATGCCATAAGGTATCCTGCTAATGGCTTCACCCTAGCTACAGGCTGAGAGCCATAGGTTGCAGGAGGACAGAAACTTAGAAGCAACTCTTTACTAAAGATCAGGAATATGCAGTCTACCTGGGAGCTCTGTCCAAGGAAGCAGCTCCAGATCTGGACAGCGGCCTGTCTTTGGACTATCCACAATGTCTCCCACAGGGACCTCTATTTCCAGAGCCAAGGTGAAAGAAGGGCTGTTCTAGCTCTAGTTTGCACAGGCATACACATCACAGTCACCAGCAGGAGGAGGCGTCCGCAGCAGCCTACAGAAAGTTAGAGCTAAACTGACAGAACCTACAGTGATCAGACACCAAGCTACCTCTGAGACCTTGACCTTCACTAGGTTCCATCACAGGAACATTCACTGTGTTCCAAACATGGGGTGGATGCTGGGAGAGAAAGGGAGGATTGCAAGTGGAAGGAGGCAAATCTTCCCGCAGGAGCATGAGCCCAGCAAAAGACTGAAGTGCACTCAGAACTGCAGGCAGAGGCAGGCAAGTGCAGATGTGACACAACATGCAGACGGTGGAGGATGGGTGGCTGTGGAACAAGGGCAGAGCCAGGCCTGACAGGGCAAGAGCCTTAGAAAAGAGCATTCCACATGCTGCCTCTAGCTGGCCTGCTCGGAGTGGTGAGCAGGAAGTGAAGGATGTCCCCAGAGCAAGGACTGACTCCATGCTAAGGAGCTGGGCCTCTATGCCAGACCAGTGCCATGGGCAGTACACACTGTGATGAGGGGTTGTTTGCCAGGGAACCATGGTCACATATGAGCATCTGAGGTACGACATAATGATGAGAGACACATTTTCATTCTTGAGTTGAATGCTCATGTGGCTGGTGGCTTCTGTACCAGATGCTATTGCTCTAGATAACAAGCTTCTGAGAACAAATCTGGGCAGAAGGAACCTTGGTCAGAGGCTCCTTCTTTCAGGAGAACAGAGGAACCCAGTGAGACCCAGAATTGGGACTATGTGGCAAGGAGAGGGGAAGGGCCCAGGTGACGCTGGGAGAGATGGTGGGGCTGCAGGGGAAGAAAGAGCATGCAGATTGAAGGGTAATGAGAAGCCACTGCTGCAACCAGGAGAACACCACCAACAGGCCTATAGGTACCAGGTGCCTCCCCAGAGGAGCACACCACCTTTTAGCCTGTCACATTCTACGCTAGCACCTTGCTTCAGTCAGGAAAATGAGGCCTTCAGAAAACAAGGAGATTCTCCGAGTCACAAGAGTGGGTAAAGCTCAGGCATCTGGGGGAAGAGAAAGGAAGGGACCAAGTATAAAGTGAAGCTCGAGCACAGAGCACAGAGGCCTTCCCTGTGTCTTAGCTGACACCCAGGACTGGACACGCCACTCCCATGGAGACCAATGACTTGAAACAGGCAAATGCTCAAGGGAGACAAGAACACAAAATCAATTCCCTAAGGCCAAATGCACACATCTGTCAGGGTTCCACCCCACACGCAAGTCTGACCAAGTGAATGACGAGAGATCACAAGGCCAGCTCTAAGGCTAGTCCAGCTGTCGATTTTGAACCAATCAGTAGACGTTCAGGAAGCCAACCACTGAGTTAAGGATGGTGTGGGGTGGGGCTCTCCCTCATTTCATAAAAAAGCATTGTACATTCTCTCACTTCTGATCCCACACTTTTGTACTGTTGTCGCCATGCAAATTTCATAATGAGTTTCCTGTTTTTCTCTAAATTGCTATTTTTCTAGGCATAACCAGTCTCAGATGCTGCACATCTGTAGGTTTTGCTGCTGACAGATGCTGGCAACCTGTCAGGTCAGTTCTGTGCTTCAGCACTTGCTCGCCTGAGCCACACAGGAACCCCAGTCACGGGGCTGGTGAAGAGCTCGGGGACTCCAGTCACAAAGGCTCAGTGGCATACGCTTTTACTTGATTACCAGCTTTCCAGGTAGGACCTGGTTTCTTGCAGTAGTCAAGAAGCCCACCACACACAGGGACACACATACACAGAAACTGTCATGTAGACACAGGTGCTTTTTCTAGCCTCCTCCAAAAACCACACCAAGTTAAATGGCCTGGACCTACTGCCCAGAACTCGGGCTGCAGCCTGTGGCTGTGTGGTACCCACCTGTGACGAGGGGTGTCTGTGTAGGTGGCTGTTCCAGAAGGACCATGTGCTGCAACAGTGGGTTGTGAGCTGCCCCGCCATCCCGCTCTAGGGGCGAGGTGCTCAGGTATGGGGTGAGGTGGGTGCCAGGGAACAGGGAGATCCGTTGCTGGAGGGTTGGGAGAGCAAGTCTTTCGGCATCCTGCTGGCCTGCTGCACCCTGAAAGGCATAGCCAGAGACAAAGGTAACTGGGCTGCAGGTCCCATGATAGTCACCCATGCCAAGAAGACTCATGGAGGCCAACTTACAGCAGAAGGACCAGTGGCAGGAAGTCCTAAGGTGATATTGGGCAAGGATGGTGACGTGTAGAGAGGAAGTGGGGCAACTGAGCCTTCTCGAGTCACAAGTCTATGCGCCAAGCTGGTCTGCAGACAGAACACACAGACTGTTACAGTCTCTTATGGCCAAATATGAGCAGCGCACCCCAGGGTAGCAAGGCACACCCAAGGCAGACTGCACTGACGTGAGGATATGTACACCAGGTTGAACAAAATGTAGCATGTAAGAAAGTGCAAATTGTGAAGCATACCTCGAGTATGGAAACATGACTCAGTTCATGAGCTTATCCCTCCTAATAAGAGTTCTTTTGTCATCTTATCCATCATCGCCTTGTTTTTCAATTTGCTTATTTACCACAAAACTATCAGAAGAAAATCTAGGATAGTACATTCAAAAAGGTATCTTTATAGTTAGGAATGCCTTTCCAAACATAACATTAAAAGCAGAAACCAAAGAAACATCTGCTCTCAAGGCTGAGGATAGTGAAAGCAATATTGACAATGCAGAGGGAAGACTAAAGTTAATATGTAAAGAGCTAACCACTCAGTGAACAGTTAACAGTGAGGAAGTTGCACAGCAAGACGAATGACAAAGGAACTCCTACTAAGGGGAACAGATTCATGAGCAAGTAAGTACTCAACATTGCTGGTCATCTAAAAACATATTTAATGACTCATCACACTGGCAAAGACTTTTAAAAATGACAGCCCAGAAACAACAGCTGGGCACCGGTGGCTCAACACCTGCAATCCTACCTATTGAGCAGGCAGAGATCAGAAGGATCATGGTTTGAAGACAGCCTAGGCAAACAGTTCACGAGACTCCATCTCAAAAAAACCCAATACAAAATAGGGCTGGTAGAGTGCCTGCCTAGCAAGCAAGAGGCCTGAGTTCAAGCTCCAATACCAATTAAAAAAGAAAAAAATCAGAAACACATACAGCAGTGGATTATAAATTGGTGCAAGCTCTGTATGGCATTTTGGCAATCTGTGTTGGAAGCCTTAAAAGCTGAGCTGGCTTTGACCCTGAAACTCACTTGTAGGATGCAATGTGAAAGGAAGAGTCCTGAAGAAATGATTCCCAAGCACATGAGTCCTTGGCTGCAGGGGCACTACAGTGGCAACATGTGGCTTCTCCAGCTACATCAACGTTAAGTGACCTCAGGTATATTTACACACCAGGACCCACAGGAAGTCAGGAAACATCCTGGCTGTGGTCACTTGGACACTCATTTGTGACAGATTAAGTTGAAATCACAAATTATAGCATCACGTACTTTATAACATGGCTCAGACCACTCAAGCCTGAGCCTGAAGGGGAATGAGAAAGATGACAAACACAGGGCTGGCAGAAGTGCCCTGAGGACTTGAACTACTGCTCTCTGTAAGCTCTATATGTAGAACAGACAAGGTTCCCTCAAAACGACAGTGTTTCACTCACCACTCTCCCTACTTGGCAGGCCCGTAAGAAATGTATGCTATGTGAAAAGAACAAACAGTGTGGATGGACAGGGTTTGGGCAGACATCTACACAAGAAGTCACACTGGTAATGAATACAAGATCCAATTTTCCCTAGTTCTTCTCATAGCAGATTATACAACTAAGGCTGAGAAACATTTTCAGTACCTTAGAATTTCATTCCCAAGGAAAAAACTATATGAGCAGAAAATTATTGCAAGTTATTGTAAACAATGGTGACCTGTGTAGAACTCTGGTTAGAAAACAACTTCCTTCCTTCTTGAGGCCACTGTCTCAGCTCATGTCAGTATCCTGTTGCCTCACGATGGTGTAGGGAACCACCTGGAAGCACTGGTGCCTTACCAATCTCCCTTGCTGTGAAGCAACTCAGAAGCAGCAGCCCTCTTCCTTGGGAGGAAACAACTGTGCCCTTTGCCCCAGAGAACAGCTCCAGCCACCTTTGGGTTTGCTCACAAGTTACACACACGCATGCATAAGTAATGACCAAGGGCTTCTAGGAAGTCTTTTTACTACACAAAATGTTTTTGTCAAAAGTATAAGAACTATCCCCAAGTTGTGCTTTAGAGAGGATGCTAGAGACTGCCAAAGACAGCTTGACTCTCTCATGATACGATTAGCTGGGAAGAAAATAAGTAGATTTCATAATATTTGCAAAGTTGTCATTTCTTGTGCAACTAACTTAGCTTTGTAACCTAATTTATTTTTAGAAATGAAGCATCTGCCAACATGAGAAATAGCAGGGCATTTGTGGTGTCTGTTGTCTCTGGGCAGAGCCCTCTGGAAGGCTTCCCAGGAAGGGGCTTCCTAGAGCTCTATCCACTCTTAGGATTCAGCAGCTTCCTGAGGACTGGGCATCTTAAGAAGCAAGAGGCAGAGGTTGGAGCACCTGTGACACACATTCTAAGAGCACGTGGAGTTTTGGACTGGACACCAGAAGCTGTTCTCCTCAGCCCTATGTTCCCTGTAGAGGGGCCTTTAGGACACAGTGGTATTTCCATAGGAGTTGCAGAGAGCTGGACCTGAGGCCCAGGCTTCTGCCATGATGCCTGCTATGGGGCAGGCTTGTTTTCTCCAAACCACATGGCCAGCCAGTGAGTATGAAGCATGGAGCTCCCCAAGTCAATGCTAATGATATTTGAAATCCACAATATTTTGGTCATTTTTGTATGACCAAATATTCAAAGGCCACCTGTACCTGTGATAATGACTATCTAATATGAACCATGGACAACCACACTTTTTATAATTCTTATGATCCCTCTTTATATGTTCTATTAATTTACCATAGCTTAATTTATATATCACATGAATTATTAAAAAAACACATTATTTAAACCAGAAGCATGTTACTCCACCCAAATAAGGCACTGCAACAATACTAACTGTGATGTACCCCATTAAATATGTACCTGTGACCATGATCAACAAGATGGAACTGGCCTCAACATTCATGGGCAGGAAGTAATTTCTAGTTGTGTGTTGAGGCTAATTACATGTAGATCTCAGCCATGACTTCGGTCTGGCAGAGAAGGACTATTAAAACTTCTAATAATCTAAGTAAGTATTTAAACTGGCAGGATGAAGAATAAAAGAAATAGAGGTGTGGAGTAAAAAGAGTAAGAGAAAGGGAACTGAGTGACCAGGAGGCAACAGTGTGGACGTCACTCCTAGCATTCCTAATAATCCTTTTAATAAAGGGGCTAGAAATTTGAAAGTAAAATGCTAAGCACTTGTGCCTGTGTATCCCAACTGAGACTGTCAACCATTTGGAGGGGCAATATTCATTTCTAAATATTTAAGAAGGAAATAAATAACTATACTTAATAAATTACAGCCTTCTGTAAGTTAGAGAGATCTCAAAAAGAACCTCCCACTCAATATACTCTGCTGCAACAGCAGACAACATTTCTAGCTCATTCCTTCAGAAAGCTCACTGTCAAGGTCCTGTCATACCCCATCTAGGCCTGCAACATCCCTAAGGCAGTGTGAAGTCTCCAGTCTGTCTTCCTGCATCCCAGCTAGCAACTGTCTCTCCCCATTAGCAGGGGACATGTAGAGCAGCCTTCCTCCTGCTGGGTCTTGGGCCAGGTGCAGGGCAGAGAGGTTTGTGGGATGAGGGAGGGTGCCTAGTGAGCAAAGGTTCTGGGACCCACTGCCGTGGAAAGCCATTCTTGACCCACTTCTGGTTGAGGGCGCAACCCACAGCTGGCTAGATGCCCACACCTCCTCTTCACTAAGCTCTGGTGTTTCAGACATCGTCTCCACCAGCTGGTTCCAGAACTTTCTTTGATGCCCCTCCCAGACCACTGCAGCCCTTGAGGTCTGATGAAGGTAAGGGTGTGGGTGCTGAGTCCTGCAGCCTGAGGCACTTAAGGATTCTTTCCCCTTCCTCTGATCTGGCAGGGCTGACTACCCATGGTGCTTGTCTCCCCAACACTTGGTTTCTTGGCCCACGTTTTAACTTGTGCACTTCTTGACATATGATGATGTTTTTCTTTTCTCTCTGCAAACCATTTCCAAGTACATATGCCTCCCTAGGGCACCACTGCTTGCAGTCTCACTGTGACGCCCTCCACAGCAATATGACGAGAGAGAGATGGAGGGAGATTGGCTGACATCTCAGATCTAAGGCCCTCACACTTCAAGGTGAGTGAGATGAGGAAAAGGGGGAGGATAACACTTTGGAAGCCCTCCTCAGGTTAACACCTTCCCCCAATCTCTGCCTTTCCCCTTGCGGACACCATGTAGATAGGGGACATGGCAGTCATGTGACTGACCCTGGGTACACTGACCTCAGCTGGGATGCTGGGCACTGTGGGCGCAATGCCATTTTCGGTGCTGACATTGCCGGAGCTGCTGTTGGGTGAGCTGGGTCCGGAGCCTGGTGCGCTGCTGCATGCAGAGTCTGCAGGTGAAAGACAATGGTTGAAGCTGGCTCGGCACAGATGGCCACACTGGCTGTGGTGGGAATGCTGGCTTTCCTCTTTGGGTTTCTGCCTGTTAGCAGGCAGAAAGCCTAACCAAAAAGCACAAGGCCAGGGCTTGAAGCAGGGAATGTGAAGCTTAATTCCGTTTTCTCAATTTTGCCACTGGCCGCCTGATAAGCTTTGGTAAAACTCTTGGTTCCAGGTGAGCTGTTCAGTGTGTGCACTATGAAGTTTACAGCTCTTTGAATTTCAAGATGATTTGAAACACCAGAAAGGTAAACCTTTAAATACTTACCAACCTGCTATTGTTGCTCATGTTGCACGAAACCTTCTCATTTTACTATGTGACATCAAGGATGCAGGGAAACACAGCCAAGGGTGTTTAAGGCTCACCAGTTCTACTTGAAGATGTGTGGGACAGTGGCTTAGCATCTTTGCATGACATCCACAGTAGGGACCCTTACTTAGCAGACCAGGCTCAACTCAAAGCTTCTCCTCCCCTCCAGTGGCTGCTGTGTAACTATACACAGCGGATGGCCCCTGTGCTCTCCATGTTTTTCAGAGATTTGTTGAGCTTTTCATGTCTGTTTCAGTGGCTTCTTGCCAATGGTTTCATATGGTTAAGACTTCCCAGAGGCACACACATGGCCTGTTTGCCCTGAAAGTTTGGATCTGAATGCACAGAGGGGCTGCTTGAAGGGGATTAGGGACAGCCTCCTTCAGCAGGAGCCTTGTCCATGCCCCCAGTCTGCTGGGAGCCCTGGGAACCTGAGTATACAGACACTCATTCATTGAACCCTGTAGGAGGGTGGTGCCCACAGAGCTGACTGAAAACTGGCTCCCAACAGCCTTAAGCAACATGGAGGAAGAGGATAGTGAGGACAGAGTTCTAAGAGTTTGGCCTGCACAGAGAAGAAATGGCACTGAGTAGTGACGGTACCTGCCCAGGCCACCTGGCTTAGGAAGATGCCAAAGGCAAATGCAGCCCCTGTTAGACTGAGCCGATGAGGACGGGTCAGTCCTCTGTTGATTAGGCTGTCGACCAAGGCCACCATATGTTCCCCTCATCCTTCCAGCAGCTATCACCACCCTCCTTCCACTCACCCACTGGTCCTGGTGACTGAACAAGCCTGATGTTGGCTCAATACCACAGACACTGATCATGAACACAGGACCTGATCCCACCCCATTTTCCCTCTTCTTTCGCTTTCCATCTCCCTTCTTTCCATCAAGCACCAATTCCAGAGCCTGGCTTCACTCTGGTGCAGTTAGGTTTACCTGCCTTTACTGGCTGGCAGCTGCTGGGAGTCATCTGGGCTGAGCGGACGGACGTTCACAAAGCACTCCCAAACATGGCTGCTTTCTCCAGCCATCCAGCTCTCTCACCTTGGCTGTTGGTGTCACACTGCTCCAGGTCAGCCTCCCAGAACCTCACCCTGGACCTACTCCCTGGTTGGCTGTTTCCAGCTACACCAAGCTCTAGCAAACCCTCCTGGAAACGTTACTTGCGGCAGGGGGCCAGATAAGCACTGTCGTCTATATGACATACTTCTGGCCAAGAAAAACTACAAATCTGATTTTCCATCCACTTTTAACTCTAAACATTAGCTTTTTTTTTTTTCTTTTTCTTTTTCCATTCCACTTCCAGGAATCTACTCTAAAGAAATAAATATAAACACATAGCTGATATCATTTATACCAGCAAAATGGGAATACCATTAGGCACCAAAGAGATACCTGTGACTATTAAGTGAAAAGGGTGAGAGGCTATGTGGGAAGAGGCATGCACTCAACTCTGGTACAAGCACTTACTGAACAACTGTGGTGACTTCCAGTGCAGGGGTGGCAGCTTACTTTCTTCTTGGTAAGTTCTTAATTAACAACTGCTAATCTGCTGTGTTCCATGGGGCCCATCTCCTGGTCCTCCCTGCACACATGCTGGATGTGGCTCTCTCCTGTTCAAGGACCCTTCACTGCCTCTTCAGCACTCCTGTAGGAGGATCCCTTTACTCTACTTAGGACTATCTTCCTGGAGCCCTTTACTGTCCTATCATCTGGAAATTCAGCACCACTCAAGAGCATTCTTCCTGTTGTTACAGCTAGATAGGAGCCTGGGCTGATAGGGGAGAACAAAAGCCTCTCTCAATTAGCCATCAAGCTGCAGCTCCAACACTACCTTCTCCCAAGCTTTGCCTAGTCAGCATGACAATCTGCTGACCTTTCTTCTCCTCTGGGGCTCCTTGGTGGGGACCCTCTGACTAGCACACTTAGCATTAACCAGACCCATTATGGCGGACTCCTGGGCTGTCTCTCTCCTGATGGCCTTGGTTCATAACTAGATTGTAAGCTCCTGGAAGGCAAGCAACTTGTCTCACTGGTTCTGTGCTCAGCCCAGTTCTGACTCTCAAATAGCATTCAGTAGATGTCAAGTGATGGCACTTAGAGCAGAGTGTTGGAGAGCTTCCCAGATTAACACAGGGATCTATTTTCCCTTGGCATCTTCCTTACGCCATCTCACTAACTGTCTGCTCAGGGAGAATGCAGGGCTCAATATGTGTCAAGGTTGACCCAAGCCAGGCTCTGCTGCAAGGGAGCAAACTTGAGTTTGAAGGTTTCACACACACACTTCCTAACTCAAGCTGGACTCCCACCCCCCAGTCAGTAAGAATCTTGAGACTTTGGATCACAGAATTTCTTGGTCTCTCTAAACAAGATGTCTCTGGTACAATCAGAGGATAGAAAACTACAGGAAGAGAGGGGGATGATGACAAACAACAGTGCCCCAAGGCATGCAGATGGCAGATTCCACCCCTCAGGAGGACCCACAGGCACACAGGCTAGACTGGCATCTAGAATAGGCTAGTGTGTGTGCTTTGGCAGGCAATGTGACCTCAGGGCTAGCCCCCAGGGAGGGGTGGGGGGGCAGAGTGTGGTGTACCCTGGAGAACTGCCCTCAGGAGGATTGTGAGAGTAGAACACTCCCCACTCCCTCTTTTGGAAAGGGTTCTGCCTGCATCCTGCTGTGTGTCTACCACCAGGTGGGGCCAACAGCAAAAGGTTCATCAAAGCCCAACCAGCTGAGATTCCTGCTCTTCCTCTGCTTCTGCTGTGGCCATAGTGAAGGGGAAGACTCTGGAAAGTACCTGCACTCCCATAGTATTTGTGGACAATGGAGAGCAAGCAAGAACACAGGATTCATCACTACTAGGCAGGGCTATTAAAAGTTCACCTTCAGAGAATCCCTTGTGAACATCTGCCAGTGATGTAAAGCCAGATCTCTCTTTCTCACCTAGGCTTAATGATGGCCTCTGAGGAACTGACTCAGGGGTTAAAAGTTGATAAGACTCCAAGTCCCCACCTCTGAGTGGCTGGGACTAGTGTGTGCAGTGCTACTTGAATAAAACCTTGCTGGCTAGCTGTGTCAGGTTGAGATTCAAGTGTTTACAGGTGGGGAGGTGGAGTTGCCTGTTTCCAGACATACCTGCAACATCCAGGGGACGCTTTTTTAGAGCAGTGACCACAGGCCCATCCTTCCTGCGCAACAGGGGGCTACTCCGTCTCTCAGCCACTTTCTGCTTAAGCCTGGACCGCAATTTCAGGTTGGGCTCAGAAGCTGCACAAAAGGAGATGTCATTATAGCCAGGCAGACACAGCTGGGGTCAAAAGTAACACATCAGTGGTTTAAAAATACACACACTGCACAAATATCCATTAATGCCAGGGAGTGCAAAGGCAGCACTCCGGGGGCAGAGTGCTCAGGCCACCCATTTTTCAGGTTATGAAACAGATGCAGCATGTCTGAGGCTATGTTCTCTGAAATGGCTGGATCCAACCATAATGTCTCCCAATCAGCCCAGGGGTGGGGAGGATGGACTGGTAAACCACTGGTGGGGGCAGAGTCTGCTGGACATTACAGGACACCATGTTCTCTAAACCAGGAATCTGGGAGTGAGTAAAGGCGAAGGCGCCGGTCTTTGTTGGCAGAGTAAGAACTAGAGGACAGTTTCAACTGTATCCACAACACTGGAGCACCGTAAGAAATGGCATTAGCCTGAACACAATGAAAAATAAATGACAACACAGAAACAGGTGTTTGTGCTGACAAAAAGATAGCCTGCGTGTACACACACACAGGCATACATGCCTAGGCAGATACATACCAAAGCTGTCCCTGTAGAGTAAGCAAGTGTCAGGATGTGTGATCTCTCTGCCTCATCATAAGCTACATGCTTACATGGCTCTTCAGGACAGAAAGATGTGCTATGCGAGGTTTAGGGGTTGCTTCCCTAACTCCTCCATAGTCTCAAATACCTGTTTCACCTGGCATCAATCTCAGTGTGGTTTTACCACAGGACAGTTAAAAAACAGAAGAAAGAAATGCATATTTGGGAAAGATTAATCCAAGTGGATACTTTTCACATTAGAAGAAGTTCAAGTTTGATGTCTAAGTTTGAGGAAACTTGCCAGCCAAGTTTCTTTGGAAAAGCACAACAAAGCATTTCTTAAAACTTTCTGAGCATACTCATCCTCATTTTGGAAGAACGCAAAGTTGGTGGAAGGTACAGACCATGCAGGTCAGCTCTACTTTGTGCATACAGACCTGAGTCTCCTGTGTCTGCTTAAAGGCAGCTAAGGATGGACAAAGCCCTTAGCAACAGTTGAACAGCCACTTGCCACATTGCACCAACCGTATGAGACACACCTTTATATAAAGCCGCAGGAAGCATGGGCTTGACCCTTTCTGCCCAATCCATCAATGCCATTTCCTACGGTGCTCCAATGTGTGGATAGCAGTGGGAACTGTTCTCTAGCTCCTACTCTGCTGACATAGACAGGCATCTTTGCTCACTCCTATTCCTGCAGGGTAAATTCCTAAGAACAGTTCAGAATTTCTGCAAATTGCACCAACCATGTGTAGGACAAGAGAGCCTCTTCCCAAAGTGCGGACATGAATGTTAGATACAAAAATGACCTGACATTTTCACAGTATCCTGAGCTTGCTCTACACACAGATGTGTGGTGTTGATCAGTTTGCTAGTACACAGGGAAAAACTTATCTGATTTTTGCAGTGCTGGGGATGAGCCCAGGGCCTTGTGCATGCTTGGCAGACACTACTCCACTGAGCATACCCCAGCCCTTCATCACCTTATTGATACACTTTATGGCTGGCAGCGTGGTTCTCTGCAGCTGCTGGTCCCTGTTGGCCCCTCAGGTAAATGTGTCATAGCGTGGGTACAGATATCAAGATAAGGATGGAGGTGTTAAGGGAGAAAAAGATCCCTAAATATCATTAAAATGACAAATCTCAGTCTGCTTTCGCAAGTGGAAAAGCACCCACTGCCCGCATACTTGGCTGAGAAGGTATCATTTGATACCCCACTGCCATAGTTTGCATGTCCTCTCCAGGACTCCTTCTGACACTCAGTCCCAGTTCAGAAGTTGGTAGTCTGGAGGTAGGGCTAGGAGGTAATTAGGATAGGATGAGTTCATGAGGAAGAGAAACCTGACAGGCTTGCTTGGTCTAGCATGGCCATGCTATGATGCCTGCATCAGATGATGAGTGATGTGGGAGCCAGGCTCTGGGACTTCCCAGCTTCCAGAATCATGAGTCAAATCTCCTATTCCTTCCAAACTTTCTGGTCTCACTTATTTTGATATAGCAACAGAAAACAGACTAAGACACCCATAAACAGAGGGAAGGATTCAGTCAATTGATGGATCAGTGATACAAACAAGTTCACGCTGCATCTTACCTTTCACAACTAACTAAAAACGTACTTTAGTATCTCTCCAGAGGCCTCATACTCCCAGTTAGGATAGTCTTTGAGGCTGCCCAGAAGCAGTGGGAAGGGACCAGATCCCTCTCACCTGGGACTCCAGGGTGAATTCTGGTAGGAGGTGGCAGACACTTGCTGTCAACTATCCAGAAAAGGGGCAGGGACCTTAACAGGAAGTAGGAGCTGGGCCAAAGAAGGTAACGGACTCTGGAGCCTAGAGCCTGGGCTAGAAGATCCAGTCTAGTTCTGAGGTACTGGGAGGTGGTAACAACTCAGGTGAGAGCTGAGCCTTAAAGCCCAAAAGCCCCATGCCAGACGTGGACTATAATGCTGTGTTTAGTTCTATGTAGTTCCCTCACATGGAGCCGAGGGTACCTGCCAGTCCACTGACTGAGTTGTAGGTATTGAGGGGAGGACCAGGCGGTGCTCAGTCAGGCAAGGATGGGTCACTGGGTAGGAAATGCGAGAAGCCAGCCCCCAGGCTCCTTAAAGTATGTGTGAACATCCACTCACTTCTCAGAGGCGCCACCAAACAGGCATTTCCTAGCACATTTTATAAATGGCAAAACTGAGACAGAGGGCTGTAGCAGCATAAGGTAATAGTAAAGAATCTGGGGAACAACTCAGGCAGCTAGGCTGCTCCTAATGCCAGGGTGATCTCAGCTCCCAAGGATGTAAAAGTGCAGGTGAGTTACATGCTGTTTTCATGAGGGAAACAAGATACCTGAGATAGTACAGGTGACAACCATCATGCCAGGAGCCACCAAGGTACATGCAATTACGCATGGCATGCCAAAGAAACCAGCATGGAGTGGTTATTTCACATGTTCACACATACATCTTATCAGTGCCCTTTATGGATTGAGAAATGGGCAAATTGTGTGCAACATCAACAAAAATTAGTATAGCCAAGTAATTACTAATGTATACATCACAATCAAGGAAGATTATCGCCTTTAATTTATCATTGTCCTCAGCACCTAATCGTACTTCATGAAGCCTCATGTTACGCTTCCCACAGATGCACTGATGCCCACCACCTGGCATCAGCAATGACAAGTGCTCAAAAAGGAGCTGTGTTCAGGGCGATTTGGTCTTCTCACTGCAAATACTCTTGGTTACATGCTTTTTCTTGAATCCTCATAGCGTTATTAATCAGCCAGTGATGCCTTTTTAGAAATTGGTAATGCAATCAAATCCTAATTAAGGTCTCCTGGAGCATCCCCAAAGTGAGAGAGTTCTCTTCAGTTCTCATGGAAATGTGGTGGAGGTGGTGTTGCATCCTGAGGTCAGAAGCAACACAGGCAGTGCTGGATGTTGGACTGGGCTTCCAACAGTCTCCAGAGAACACAGTCCAGCATGGGAAGCCAACTCTGTGACCAGGGAGCCCAAAGGAATTGATCACAGGCCTTACGAACAACCACCGAAGGCAATGTGGCTGTGGTGAGCAGCAGTGGATGGTGGTGTCAAGACTGTCTCCCAAGCTGATGGTTTCCTGTGGCATGTGCTACAAAATACTCATGGACTCCTGCTTCCTAGAACAGGAGATAACTGGCCAAGCAGCAAGGCCATATATATTAGGGGTAGGAAAGGCAAGGAAACAGCCAATCCTCACACCTGTTGTTCTACTGCTGAGGGGTGTATGGAGCCCTGGGGAGCTGCTCTGGGCCAGATGCAGCAGGTGGCACACACTGTCTCTTCCTGGGGAGGAGCCCAGTAAAGTGCTGTCAGGAGGCATGTTTCTTAGTGAGAGTCACTGCTCTGTGTGCAACCAAGCTCTCAGCCCTCCACATCTCCTGCCCTCATTGTTCTAGACCCACTCCAACAGGGTACAACAGGCTTGGCAGGACAACTTCATCACATAAGTATCAGTCAAGTTCTACTTAGGCTGAGCTAAAATGTCCCTCCCTACTACTCCTAGATCCTGGTTTTGGTTCTGTCCTGGCACCAGGTGGAATCGTCTCTGGGGTGCCCACTGATGGCTCAGTGTCTACTACATGCCTCCCTCTTTAGGGAGGGAACAATTGAGCCTGTCATCCCTACTATGAGGCCTCAGAATTGGAAGGAAGCTGGGGTGTGACTGACTGCCTTAGTACCCAGAACTGACCAAATCTTTTGGATTACAAAGAATTTTGGTTAGTAAAAAAAGCTGTGCCTCTCAGACTCATTTCCGAATGCAGTCCTGTGCAGGAAGGCACCTTGGAATTCTCACAATGGCCTGCAATTTAGGGATGCACCTGCAGTAGGAAGATAGGTCATCTCGCTCTCCTGTGGTCTGAGGCCGCTCAGGCCTGCTGTTCGGGTTCACTCGGGTCCCTCTCTGGGGCATACTCCAGAAGGCACTGTCCTACTTGCCATCCCAAAGCACTTCCCTTGGTCACTTGGGTCCTTCTCCAAAGCCACTGCCCTCTCTAATCCATCACCCTGAGAAAACACAAGAATATCTGACTGTCTCACAGACTGCTCCAGCACCCTCCCCAGTTTCTAAGTTGACCCATCACCCTTTGGCACCTTAATGCCCTCTTCCTCTGTTCCTATCAGAACTGCTGCCACAGCTGTGACCATCTGGGACACACCTGCAAGGACACAGTGAATTTCTTTCTCAAGTGACCTGCTCCTACTCTGGGCATGATTTTTCTGTTTGGGCACTGCTCAGAGCTGGTGAAGAGGCCCAAGTTGCGCTTGCTGAATATGGCCAGAATGTCAGCAGGAGCTGCTTGACCACTAGGCTGCCCTGGAGTGTGGCAGAGCAGGGCTTGCCACCCAAACAAAATCAAAGTACTCTGGGATGAGGTTGAGTCTTAAAAAGTAGGTATACATGCATGAGACCTGTTTCTTTTGGTATGAATCATAAGGAAATGCTTAGGGATAGCTTTTCAAAATGATGGTCTAATGCAAAAAGCCAGTATAAGTATAAGCCGAGCAACTCATGTGGTTCAGTCTGAGTCGAGGGGTGGTTGCCTCCACTCAGTGTGGAGGGTCCAGGTGGCAGCAGACCTCACACTCACCTGTTTTCCTAAGAGGGAAGTCATCTTTGGCATCATACATCCCCAGAACTGGATGGTTATAGGAGGCTGACACCCCACTTTGGGGAGGCGAGCTCTGGTCCAGGGAGCTGTGCTGTGTCTTCCTGGAGAAAGGCAAAGGCAGACATCAGTGTGCCTGGAGGAGTGCCCCAAGGCTGACAGCAGTCACAGGAAGCCCTTCAATTGAAACCTCTGTGCCCTTTCTCTCAGCCCCTCCTTTTCTCCAAAACATGTCAACAAGTGAACAAGAGAAGCCATGGCCTCCCCTGACTCAGCCTTGTGCTTGTTCTCTGCCCACCTGTCCCTTTGATATCTCTGTGCCTACCTGTCCTCAGACTACCAGGGTCACCACCAGCCACACAGAAGGCTTGTTCTTAGGGCACACAGCACAGGAAGGCAGGTGCATTCAGGCATAAGGAATGCAGGGTGAGGCTGCAGGCAGCAGAGACAGAGCCAGGACAGATTGGGAGCAGGTGTTGGTGACATCTGGGCTCTCTCTACCTCCTGGAGTGCAGGACCCTTTGAGGGCTTCTCTAAGGCACAAAATGCTCATTCCCCATCCTTCCACTAGAATAGATCACTGTGATCATTTCCCTTTTTGGACAGGTTGGTAGCAGCTGACACCTAATGCCCTGAGAGTCACTCTATAAAGTGAGTGACTAAAGTACACTATAAAGTGTACTTCCTTTAACATCCAGACAACTCAAAGTCCTAAAATGGCCAGATGGGAGTGGGCTGCAGGTGGATGGATGCTCAGAGGGACAAAAGTGGAACTGGGCCTCAGGATGAACAAGGGATGCAGAGGCTACCCAAGATGACCATCAGCAACACCTTCCTTGATGTACAGTCCACTGAGCCTTGTACTAAACATGGAAAGTGTAAGACATTCTGCAGGTCTTTACACTGTATAATCTGCTTAATGACTAGAAATAAGTTTGCTGACTATCTGGAATTTGTTAGATTATTTATTTGAATATATACACTCATGCACCTGGAGTTATTTGAATCAAGAGTGGAAGCTCTTAAATGTGTACAGGTGTACATCTAAATATCTGAAATCTCATAGCCCAAAAAATGTGCTGAAGGGAATCTCAGAGATAAATCCAAGTATTCCAGCCCTAATGGCTGGGTCGTAGGGCTCAGTCTGACCATGTGTCCTGAGAGGATCTCAGAGAGCTCTGGAAAATTAAATCACTTCAGGATGTGCCCCCGCACCACCATCCAGAGTGTAAGTCTGCCCCAAAGATGGGCTTTCCTCGGATTTCCACAGGGTGTTCCTGATACACAGCTGGGACTGGGAGTGTGCACAGGGGAAAACAGAAGTGTACTCATATCTGTTGAGGGCTCACCACTGCATGGTGGCATTAAAAGGTCTGCATGATGTAATGCAGTTTCTCTCCTCGATCATATTTTGACATAGATCCCCTATGGGGAACTTGGCCTTGGCAAATTTCAAACTTCTTCAATGCCAAGTTATAATCTGGGGTGCTTTTCATTCTCTTTCTCCTTCATAAGAAACACAGAATGACCTGTGTGCGCATTGAGTTAAAAATATAGTTGGTTATAGAATACTATTCAAAATATGATAAATGCAACAAATATGATATTCGTTGTTATTATGATTTAATGGCAGGTTCTCTTTATAATTAAGCCAGAGGCTGTAAAAGCTAAGATCTAACAGATTTTCTCTTACTATTTGGGTCTCTTGAGATGCTATCAGTATTAAAGCCCCAATTTCTTATCAGGCCTTAAAATGAACTGAAACTGGAAGCTGCTATGTACAGCCCAGCCCCTGCCAAGCCAGTTACCAGCAGATCATCTGCATCCCTGAGAGGTAGTTCTAGGAGTCAAAACAGGTAGCTATGCTGGTTTTTGGTACCTCTCAGTGTCTAGAGACTCTGAAAGGGACCGTACATCCTCACTACCAGTTCACCTGTCAGCAATAGCCTCATCAGGGAGGAAATCACATCACTACGCATTGCCTCCTAGGGATTCAAGGAACAGCCAGCTAGCTTCTCAGGGAAAATGCTGATCAGTGGTCTTGGTGTTGTGTTCAGCCTGGCACACCTTACCCTCAGGCAAAGCTCTTGGGTCCTCAAGTGAGGGAGAATCCAGAAAAGTGAGCAAAATAAACTCCCATCCCTGGGTGAGCTTATGCCTCCTCCATTCATGCCCGTCTTACATCTCCACTCGCCCTCCCCACCCCCCACACACATACACCTTACACCTACATTCACGTACCTATATAGTGTCATACAAGTAACACATCTCATGTACCCTTGTGCCCCTGTGCAGAGGACCTGCAGAGCAACTTCTACCTAACTCATCTCTGACATAGAATTATCTTCCAGTTTTCCAATCTTTAATTTCAGCCTGGGAACAGAGACATAGAAGCCAGGGTGGGAAGCTACAGTGTAAGATGAAGGGAGCCTGGGTCCCTGGGTGGGCTGACTAGATACTTTGTCTAAAGGTAATCCTTGGGTTTGGGATGTAGCTCAGTGGTAGAGCACTTGCCTAGCATGTGTGAGGCCGTGGGTTCCATTCCCAGTACCACCAAAAAAAAAAAAAAAAGGTATCTAACTAAATAATAAGGGTAATACTTACCTTAGCAAAAAAGATAGAAAAACATATTGCTTTGCTTTCTTTCTCAACATTACCTTGACTGCAGACTAAAACCACACAAATTCAAGCATTTAAATTCTATCAAGAGCCTTTCCTAGTACATGATATTTATACTGGTGATTTAAAAGCAAATGAAACTCTTAATTGAGCATAACAGCACGGTCCAACAGAAATATAATATGAGCTGCATGTATAGTTTACATTTCTCTTATAGTCACATTAACATGAATAAAAAGAAATAGGTGAAACTAATTTTAGTTCCTGATATATTAAGTTATTATTTTGACATGGAATCAATGAACTTATTAATGGGATATCATACACTCTTTTTCCGTACAGATGCCTGCAGTCCTCAGTTCTGTATTGTTAGCAGCCCTCAGTTTGGAGCAGCAACACCTCAGGTGCTCAGGAACCATATGTGGACTGCCACACTGGGCCGAGCAGTCTTACATATGGATTTAAACTTAGAGGTGTGAACATTGCATCCACATCTGTGGAATACATGTCCCAATCACGCCCAGGGAGGTCTCCACAGACTGCCCCTCTGCCTCTTTGCCTGCTGTCTCCAGCTCAGCTTTCTGGAGTCCACACAGTGGAAACAAAAGGAGAGATATGTCTGAGCAGCTTTAGCTCACTGTTCCTGAGGCCCTCATGGTGCTGAAGGTGCAAGTGCCTGGTCCTTGTTGCTGCTGAGCAGAGTCCTGGTGCACAGACACACCCAACCTGCCAGGCCATTAACCTGCCAGCAAGCTTACAAGCTATTTCTGATCTTTAGTGGTCAGAGATATGGCCACTATGACCACGAAAGTGTGTGTGGGATGCTTTCCTTGACTTTCGGTGAACTCTACAAAGCACACTGTTGGGTTACAGGGTAGGTAAGCATTTCTAACAGGGCCATACCACTTCAAGTCCCTTGGCAACCTGTGCAAATGTAGCCACTCCACACCTTGCCCCACTTGGCCTGTTAAAACTTAGCAAGCCCAGCAGGTATCTTAATTGTGGTTCTAATTTGCATGTCCCTGATACCTAGCAAAGCTGCACATCTTTTCAGGTGTCAGGTGTGTATTGGTCATCTGCATACCTTATTCTGTGAAGTACCTGTCCGTATCTTTTGCCTAAATGTCTTTTCATTATTAATTCTGCAATAAGCTTGCAACTTGTAAAGCCACAAAGCATGTGAGGGACAAAGGAAGAGAAGTCATAAAGGGCTGTTCAGGTTGCATCACAATAATGAGGTCATCCACTGAGGGGCTGGAATCATGCAAATGGGGTGTGGTGTATGTTTAGTACAAACAGCTGTACATTTGGGGGCTCTAGCATAGCCACATTCGTTTGCAGTGAAATTACTGATTATATTGTTTTTTTCTTTGTTTGATTGGTTTTGTTTATTTGAAATAGGGTCTTGCTATGGAGCCCAGGCTAGTCTCAAACTCTCTATCTGCCTGTTTCCACCTACTGGGTGCTGGGATTACAGGCATGCGCCATAATGTCTGGCTCTGATTACATTCTGATTCATGAAAACTACCTTTTTTTTTTTTTTTCAGTAACCAATTGACTTTTGAGAACCACAGAAGACTATACTTCAAAGCAATAATCTATTCCGTGTAGCCACCTCACTATGCCCCCAACACCATACAAGGCCTCTGTGAATGAGGCCAGCAAAGGAGACTTCTTTGGCTTCAATGCATTGGCTTCCTTCTGCTGTCAGCACAAAACAAGGCTCTACTGTGGTCTCTGTCCATGATATAGGCTCTGGTGGGGTCTCGTAGTACAAAAATAATAAAAATATCAAGGTGCTTATTGGCTTGCTTGAGAATCAATAAAACAGAGTAGAAATCTGGTAGGTATGGATGGGCAATTTAGGCTAGAGTTCCAGCTTTAGTGGCTCCTACTGTGGCTGAAAAATGGAGCAAAAGGCTGAGAATAATGATCAGGCACCATCTAAGAGGGCTGCTCCCTGAAAACAGCTCACTACCATTCCTGTTTGGATGATGGCCACATGTGTTACCTCCAGATTCCCCACTGTGCTTTGAGAGTTCAAACTGCACCCCCCACCCACTGCCCTTCCTGGGAAAGTGAAGAACTGGATCTGCTCACACCTGCCCAGAGTTGGGTATACCGAACTCCAAAGAGCAGACCCAGGTGGGTACATCCCCACTTACCCATACCAGTAGCGGGGGTCGCTGGAAATGCAGTGGTTTAGGTTCCGGTGGGCCAGTGCCTTCTTCTTGTTGAGGACAAACTCCTGCAGCTTCATCTTCACCTCTGTGCTGGCCACTGCACCTGGAAGCAGGAGCAGAGGGTGAGTGTGAAGGGGAGCAGCACAGGGTAGGGAGCACAGGGCAGGCAGAAGCTCTTTGTGGGGCACTGCCAAGGCCAGGGAGTGATTTAGGGAGGGGCTGTTCTATTTAATGCAGATCCAATCATGGGAAGCTAACACAAATCCCACCTCTTGTCCCTACATCAAAGAAGGCTTCAAGTTAACACTGGCAGCATGGTGGTTCCACTCTCTTTAATGCACAAGAAGCAGGCTCCAGAGGGTACTGTGCAAACAGAAGTGTCCCAAAGCCACATGGAGGGAACAAGGCCTGCTTCCCAGGAAGGCTAGCTGCCAGTGTCTGACACATGTTACAGTGTGTGGCTTCCTCAGAGTGAAAAGGTGGCTCTGTCCCCTCTCACCTGGCACTACGTATTATAGAGAGCAGATATGGCTGTGGTGACTTAGGCAGAAGTTGTGTATTCTGGGCTTTTCTTATGGAGGGGTGACTGTTGTTCAAAGCAGCATTAAAGAATACGGGCAGATTTGAGAAACACATCAAAAGAATGCCCAAACTCATCCCTGAACACAGGCCAGCCAGCGTTTAAACCTGTGTCCTGCAGACCCATCACTTCCCTCCACAGCATGGATCCAACCTTCCACTGAGGAACATCTTGAGGGTTATCTCTGTATCATATGGAATTCAAACAGCATCTTTAATGGGCCAAACCACTTTGTATGGTAAGTGAAGTTGTTTCTATTCAAAACCATTTTGGCTGAAGACTTTGGTTGCCCTTAGAAGCCATGTTACAGTGGACATTTATGTGATGACATCATACAAGTTTAGAATTACTTGCTTAGGAGAGATTAGCAAAACATCTGTATCTCACCAACTTAATAGCCCTGAGACATCACGCTCAACTGCCTTCCAAAACATCTCTCCACACTGACACTTGGCTCTCATTAACAGACGCCAGGGAGTGGATGTTCTGCATCCCAACACTGAGGATCAGCACTGTTAGCACCGGCAACAGTGCTTAGCTGCTATGGCTGAGGTGCCTGGATGGCTGTGGGGCTTAGACTCATTTTCTTGTCTTGTGATAGGCTTCAGGACCTGGCTTTGCTTCCCCTTAGGAATCCCTCTGTGGGGTGTGTGTGTTGACGGTGGCAATGCTGTGGGCACAGTAACTTATCAAAACCCTACTGGCCTACTGGCCCTGGCCCACTTAAACCACACGTGAAAGCTGAGCAGATATCCTATTTCTCATGTTATCCACAGAGGGCAAGAAGATGGGCAGGTGGGAGTCAGGTGAGATCAAGCCTTGGCAAATACTGGCTGTGATCTCTGTGTCCTTTTAAGGTTAGTGATTCTGATGTGCACATGCTTGTTTCTATGAAGCCTATTCTGGTTTTCCTTTATGACTTTTACCATTTCCTTAAAGCTTTGCAATAGACCTTCTTTTGAAAGGTTTGATTAAAAATCACATTTTCTTTCTCTTTCTCTCTCACTAGTTAGTGATGGTATGGGGTTGAATTCAGGGCCTCGAGCTCTCTAGGCAGGTGCTCTACCACTTGAGCCACATTTCTAGTCCTTTTTGCTTTAGTTATTTTTTGAATAGGATCTCACTTTTAGGCCTAGGCCAGCATGGACCATGATCCTCTTATTTAAGCTTCCTGCAGAGCTGAGATGACAAGCTTGTGCTACTACTCCCAGCTTTTTACTGGTTGAGATGGGAGTCTCACGAACTGTTTGCTTGGGATGGCCTTAAACTGTGATCCTCCTGATCTCTGCCTCCTGATTAGCTAGGATTACAGGTGTGAGCCACAGCACCCAGCAATAATCACTTTTAGGGTTGGAGTGAAGCTTAGTGTTAAGAATACTCCCAGGTTAGCAGATAAAAGCCCTTGGGTTTGATCCCAAGCACTGCAAAAACAAAAAAAGGAAAAAGAAAAGGAAAAATCATGTTATCATGTTCTAGATTGTTACTGTGATTAGAGAAATAGATTTTCCTTACCATCTTTAGCACATACCCAGGGCATTGGTCATTAATCATGGAGTGCTTGTTAGTTACATGTCCTTTTGAGTTCTGCACAGCAGAGTGCCACTGCAGCTGGCACAGTGGGAGTTCCACAGGTGTAGACAAGGGTCAGCTGGCAACATTCCTCTTAAGAAATGGTCCAGCAAGACTGTGGCAGGACATGAGCCAGATCCAGGTGACCAGGAAGCAGCAGGAAAGCTAACTAAGCTGACCGGGTGCAGGTCGGAGGGTCCATCACAAAACAGAAATCACATAGGAAATCTTTGTCCTTGGACTCCACCAGGAGAGAATTTAAAAAGACAGACTGTACTCCCCCACCCTGTCCCCATTTCCCCACTCTTGGCACATATGCATCCTTCCACATATTTCTCCACTTAAAGGAAATTCTAGAAATAAGAAACAGTCAACGAATGAGTAGCAAATTTCTTTAACTTTTCCTTAAAAAAAAAAACAAAAACAAAACCAAAAAACCTAATTCACATTGGTTGTTGTTTACCCACCGGACAGATTTTTACAGAGCTCTTAGGTAGTTCCACCACCGCTCCAGCGACTGGGATGTGGAGTGAGTACAACATAAAGGTACTCAAGAACCAGGGGTGGAAAGAAGAGAGGCAGAGAGGTCTAAGCAAACAAGCCAACAAGTGCAGGAAGAGAAAAAAGAGCAGCGCTGTTGGCAGGTAGAGCAGGTGGGACAGATATCAGGGGAGGGCAGAGGCCAAGGATTGCTACGATAAGGTTGGGTCCCTAGGAGGCTGCAGAGTGACTTGCTTAGATAGAGTCTGTCACAGGTGTTCAGTCTGCCTTTTTCTTACCCATTACTTGCCCACTAGGAAGACACAACTTCACAAATGGGATAAAGAATTTACTTTCAGAATCAGGTATTTCTCTTTCTCTTTCTTTCTCTCCCCATCCCACCCCACCCAACCCCTTCTATCTTTCTCTCTGTCCCAGTGCTAGGGAGAGAATCACCGAGCTACATACTACCAGCCCATACACTATTTTTAAACAGATCAATCGCTTTCCCCAAGCGCCTGCACCTTGTCCCACAGGACGTGCTTGTAGGTAAAATGAACAGCAGAGGCAGACTTGCCTCTTTTTGACTTGGGTGTCTAACAGACAATGCACACTAGGTCCTCGAGTGTCTTTAAATAAAATATGACTGACTGAAGATAGTGTGCTCCTGCTACATGTGATGAAGACTGACACATGCTCTGAAAATTCAGTTATGTCCAGTGCATTTCATTATTAGGCATTTAATACATCAAAGAAAATCACAGAAATATCTAAAAATTAAAGTTCTGTACTGCCAATATTTACAAATGTTAACAAAACTTACTAAATGTTTAATAAGAAGTTCATTTGAAACAAAACCCTAAGAAACAAAATAATATAGATGCTTTGCACTGGGTTTTCAAATGCTTAAGTCCAGGAGACATTTCATGCCATTTGCATCTTGCCCCACAAGCGCACTTTAACTTGGCATAAACAATAATCTCCTTTTCATGGGTGAGGCACCCTGTGCCTGCTGACATTAAGAGCCCCAGGTGGTACCCCCCCACGGCAGCCTGCCAGCCAGGCTTCTTACTTTAAGACCACACTTTGAGGGCTGTGAAGCCTACACAAGCTTGCCAAAGACCCAACTGTACACAGTTTATTATTAATAATAAAACCTGACCACCCAAATCTACGAAGTGAAAACCACCAGACGGCTGCTTGTGACGAGGCTGGAGAGCAGCAAAGCACATACCAGCTCAGTTGAGGGTAGGGTGGGGTGGGGTGGGGTGGGATGGCATGGGGGTGGGAATGGGGGTGGGGGAGGCCATAGTGCATAGCACAGAAATTGTTTTAATTGTAAAACAATTCTTTTCATATTCTGTGAGCCACAAGATATTTTTATTGAAAGATTCTCAGTCATGAGAAAGTAGTTTAGACTGAGATGCTTTTCATTCATCAGAAAAACTGTTATTTGTTGGTTAGTTGTGGCACAGATCAACTGACTGATATTTAAAATTTGAACTGTAATCCTTTGATAAATAACCACTATTTTCCCTACTCCAAAGAAAAATAAATAAGTAGGATACATGCTGAGGCATAAGCCAACCACAGATGAGGGAGAAGGGAGTGGGATCCGGGCCAAGGACCCGTTGTGAGTCCAGCCTGGGCATGGCAGGTCTGTGGCTTTTGGTCCTGCGTGCACATGGTCAAGGCCCCTGGCAGGATCCTACGAGAACCACATGCTGTTGTCCAGGGAGATGGCTTTCTAAGCAGAAGGTGGCCTCAAAGAGTAGGCTGATGGGGCCAGGCCCTCTAAAGTATGCCTCACACACAAGTGAAAGGATATGCCTAGACCCTCAGCCCTGGCTGCACAGGAGACTTACCTAAGGAACTTTAGGGCTAAGAATACCAATACTGGGCTCTACTGCAGGTGAACTTGTCATGGCTCCTGGTCTAAAAGCAGTGGGTGCCTAAACCTATGCCCAACTCCATGCAGACACCCAACAAATCTTCAATGCCATTTCTGCAATCTGACCTGAAGGCCATTGCTGAGCAAGGTATCCTCTTCTCTACCCAGAATGTATTAACCAGGTTTGTTATTTACTTCCAAAGACTGGCAAGAAAAGTAGATCTAGTGTGGAGTAAAGCTGTCCTCATTACTTTCAACCTTGAAACTCTATCAGCTAAAATGAGAAGCATGTCAAGTTTTCTTATTCTTTAAGGAGTGAAGTGTTACTGTTATTGATGATGAAGGAAGTGCTAATTTCATGTACAAAAACAATTACTAAGAGTTTTTATAAATAGTGAGATACAGCAATAAAATGATAATTAAGAGAGTACATTAGCTATAAACTCTTAGAAAAATATTGTATGTTCTGAAAAAGCAAAAATTTTAAAACTGTACAAAATAATGTGGACATATTAGACTATATCCCAATTCTAATTTAGAATCGGTGTCATATGACAACAAGAGCTAAATTTTCTTGATAGCT